TAGGGCTGGCTCAGGTTTATAGTTAGGGCTGGCTCAGGTTTATAGTTAGGGCTGGCTCAGGTCTATAGTTAGGGCTGGCTCAGGTTTATATTTAGGGCTGGCTCAGGTCTATAGTTAGGGCTGGCTCAGGTTTATAGTTGGGGCTGGCTCAGGTCTATAGTTAGGGCTGGCTCAGGTTTACCTTGGACCAGCCCCTAGATAAGCTGCTATAGGCCTCGACTGCCGGGGGACTTCCTAGGATACACTGAGCTCTTCTCTCCTCTTCTTCATCTCCTTCTATATCAGGGGTGTCAAACTCATTTTCACTCCGGGCCACATCAGCATCATGGTTTCCCTCAAAGGGCCGGTTGTAACTGTAAAACTGTATAACTGTAACTACTCCTAACTTATTGTTAAATAATATCTCTGCTTTTGATTATTGTTTATTCAAGTGTAAAAATATTGTACATGCAGTTATATAAATGTAAAATGATATTTAAGCACATTTCTGTTATTATAACATAAATCATTTTAATTTAGGGTTAGGAAACCCACATTACTCTATCAAAGATAAAACTATTAAAGAAAATAACAAAGACAAATATCATCAAACACAAGTTATTACATTAACTTTGTTCAAAGCTATTTTTGTCACCTCTCTGCATCACTAATGTCCCTCCCTGTCGTCGTCCTGTGCATGGCAGCTACTGTACATCCAAGAGCTCCTCACTGACAGTCAGGTCTTATAAACATGGATAGATGCGCTGTGTCCCTGTTGTCTGTGCTTTCATCAACAGCTAATGAAGAAGACCAGTACCTGCTCGTCTCTTAGCTAGCTGTGTTGTTAGATTGCTGCTAGTTCCTGAACTCGGTCTGCGATGGTGCTTCTTCACAAACTGACATTTATAAAAGTCTGTATCTGGTCGGAGCACACCTGCTCACATACCGTTAGCATGCACTGGGCTGTAGCTTTTGTAAATATATTCTGCTGTGATTGCAGCCTGCTTTTTAATTCTTGGACAATTTTATGTTTTTCTTGGAGGTTAAATTTAGCTCCGTGTTTGGTGTCAAAATGCCGACGTGAATTGTATCCTTCATCACCGACACGCATCATAACACAGAAGACAGACCCATATTTCTCCCTGAAGCACAGACATGTATTCGCTTTCCCATCTTAAATTACATCTTCTTCCCTCTGCATCAATTTTTCTCTTCGTGGACATTTTGGGATTATTTGTCGATCTTTTTCAACTCAATCACTTGTTGGAAAACCTCTTTACGGGCTGTTCCCTCTCCTGTCCACCTGTTGTGATAGTTTTAATACACAGACAACATGCTATCTCATAATTTCAACTTTGTATCTCATAATTTCGACCATGGGGATATTTTTATTTTCAAGTCTAACTTAAATTTTATTTTCCAAAATTAAAAAAAAACAAAAAACTTTTTTTTTTTTTTTTGCTGGTGGATTCGCGGGCCACATAAAATGACGTGGCGGGCCGGATTCGGCCCGCGGGCCTTGAGTTTGACACGTGTATTCTATATGAATTCATGTCCCATTAATGCTCATTACTGACTTTGCTTCTTCCCCGGAGTCTTTGTGCTTTCTCTCCTCACAGGTTTCTGTGGATCCTGGTTATACCTGGACCCTGCTGGCCTCCTGCCGTGGTTCTGTCATTAGGGGTGGGAATCACCAGAGGTCCCGCGATACGATATTATCCCGATACTGCGATATTATCATGATAATGCGATATTATCATGATAATGCGATGTTCTGAGTATTGCGATAACATAGGCCTATATTGCGATTTATTACTTTTTTCAACTTCAAATTATGTCCCCAAAGGAAAACTGTGTCAACATGTTTTATCTAATAAGATAAAGTTTTCAGTCTGTTCATCTCACTTCAATCATTTTTATTGCAGCAAAATGGGATTGTCAAGCAGACAGACTGACCAACAATGTCATAAATGTTGTACCTGACAAACTGAACTGTTTGTATTACTACATAGTCCAAAATGTAATCAATCTGCACTATTTAGATAACTGATTAATTGTTTATGTAAATCTTCAAGAAAAAATGCCAAAGATGATTTAGTTCAAGGTTCTCAAATATGAGAATGCTTTTCATTGTTTTACATATGAGCTGTTTAACTTCCTAACATGAACTCTAAGCACATTATTAAATATCATTAAAACTACTGATTTGTTTGTCAATACAAATACAACCTTTTATTTCTTTATTATTTGAATTGTTTTTATGAAGAAAAAAACACTATAAATTACTATAACAAAGTAAAAGTATAACATTTAGTATTTTTGATGGTTTATTGACTTCAGAGCGTTGACATGATTTTTGGGATGGTGACAAAAAATAATATCCTTGTAGACCAGCTGCTGTAAAACAACAAAGAGAACAGTAACTGTTAATATGGATCATTAATAATCAAAAATTAGTATTGGTGGCAAAACAATGTCATCATAGATCTAAAAGTTATATTTGCTCCCTTGTTTCTTTCGTGCTGATCTGGACTGTGACTTATATGATCCGTTGCTCCACTAGTCGACTGCTTCTAGTAGTATTTTTCCATCCATCATCTGTAACCTCTTATCTTATGCTGGACTGCGTGAGGGGCGGAGCCAAAAGCAGGGTTCACCCTGGACAGGGATCCAGACTCTGGCAGGACTGAGACAGACATTCACACTCACATTCACGCAACCTAACATGTCTTGACATTGTGGGGGAATCTCCATCGCCCAGATAGAACCCACTGACGCTGACACGGGGAGAACATGTAAACTCCACACAGGAGGGCCTTCCTGTTAGGTGACTGTGCTAGCCACAGCACCAGCGTGCCAACGAGATGGAATGCAGGGTATCCTCTACCCACTGAAGTGTAGCATCCCGGCCTACACCTCTGCGGTCTGGAGGTCTGTGGCATTCCATTCCATCTAAGGAATCTCTGGTGGACCCAACTCACTGGATCAGTGAATCTTAGACTTACTTATAAACTCTGTTAACCTAACATGTCTTGACATTGTGGGGGAATCGCCATCGCTCAGATAGAACCCACTGACGCTGACACGGGGAGAACATGTAAACACACAGGAGGGCCTTCCTGTGAGGTGACTGTGCTAGCCAATGATGACATCATTAGTGGTGTAACGGAACGTTCCACACGCATCTGAACCTCAGATCAATGATGTAGCTGTATCTCAATTCAGGGTCTGCATCCTTCGGAGGCTGCATTCGTAGACCGGTTGCGTCACAGCGCTGCGACTAGGCTGTCCCAATTCGCATGTTTGTTGAAGACTCCTTCAAATGCAGCCGACGAATGCAGCCTTCAGGTCCCAGATTCGGAGGACACATCTCATGAATCCTTCGCACCCAGCATATCCCATGATGCATTGCGTGCTGATGAAAATTTTATTTGAACCAACATGGCGGCGATTGATGCTGCTTTCACTTTTAAGTGTAAGTATTGGGTTTCAACTCACTCGAATGTCACTGATACTAATGTTAAAGCAAAATAAGCAATCTTATAACATCACATGTGTGTTAAAGTGATCGGTTAAGTTACGTGACGTTGGTAACTGACAAGCTAACTAACGTTAGCCGCTGCGCTATTACCGCCAGCATCCGACCGTAGTTATTTAGCCTTGTAAAGTAACTTTTAATGCCTCACTTTCAAACCTCAGAGGTTGAATAATATCTTACTGAGATTGTGATGATTTTACAGATCATTTCTACTTCACATCATGTACATGACCGGACCAACGTGAGTTCAGGTAGACAGGTTGTGAACCTGAAATATCACTTGAATTCCGGTAACGTTAAGATTAATTACACGAATATACTGAATTTGAGTATTTTGCTAATTCTGTTCTTGTTGTGTTACAGGGAGCCAGGAGCTGAGGGGGGAGAATGATGGACAAAAATGTTCTTGCTGACCACAAAACCTCTGATGCTGTTCAGGGGGTCATGCTTCCAAATCACTGGATAATAAATCAGACAGATTATAAAAATTGAAAAGCACAAATACCAGAAATGTGGAAATAGAGGCAGAGATGATATTTCTCATTACAATTCCATTGAAAGAGCCACTTTGCTCAAATACAACTGAATGAAACATACCAGTTTGTTATGTCTACAGTTGCTTTACACAATCTGTTTGAGTATCCCGCTGACAATAAACAATACAGTCTGCAGCTCTAAACTGTTTTACTTTACCACAGTGTTGGTTCACCACACAAGCAGTAGTTACTGTATATCTACAGTATATTCTCATGCATTTAATGTGTTATAACTCTGTTCATTATGTACACATGACATCTATCACACTTCTGTCCATCCTGATAGAGGGATCCCTCCTCTGTTGCTCTCCCTAAGGTCTCTTCCTCTTTTCTCCCCGTTAAAGGGTTTTTTGGGGGAGTATTTCCTGTTCTGATGTGAGGGTCCTGGGACAGAGGATGTCGCATGTGTACAGATTGTAAAGCCCTCTGAGGCTAATTTGTAATTTGTGATTTTGGGCTTCACAAAAATAAATTGAATTAAAATAATGGCGCTAAATGAGTCAGGATCACCAAAACCACTGAGGATCATGACTGACGTGATTCATTCTATAGTTTAAACATAATTAGATGTATTTAGCTCACGCTTTTATCCATGCAAAGCAACTTACAATAAGTTTAGTTGACTGTTTAGTGAGTGGGTACAGCCCAAAAAAAAAGGGCAGAATCAAGTATCAACTCATCAAATATGCTGATCTACTATTGCAAGTGCTACATTTAAAAACAAGAGGTAGAGATTTTATTGTTTTCATTTCTTATGACTAGAACCCTTGGCTAAAAATATTGCAATTCCAACTGAATGGTAGACACTTCACATTGGCTATGATGGACCACTTTACACAGTACCAATATGGGTATTAAAAGGTGCAATATATGGGATTCAGAGGAGCAATATTGCAGCAAACAACTAACTGTAAAGATATAGTGTAGTAATGTACTTTGTGTACATATCCACGCATGCTTTCAGTGCATGTTAGCGTGCCTCACTGGTTAGCTTACAACGGTCGCTAAGCAATGCGCTGATAAGGCGGCCGGTCAGACGCTCCAACCCTCCGGTTCCCCCTCCGGTAAACACTGTTAGCGATGTTAGCACCGTTGGCTGCTAGCCGCTGGCTCAGCCGTCGCCGTGTTGAGAGGAAATAGATATTCTCCCAATCTTGTATATAGCACTTTTTTGAGGAACAGCTCTATGGTAACGCCACTATTCTGAGCTCTGAATATTTCTTCCGGTATGTGTATTGTATGTATATTAAAGAGTGGTGACTAGTAGTGCTATCTGGCCACCATTTCAGTCTTTTACAAGTAAGTAGTGTAACCTAAGACTGCTGATGCGTTACACTACACTACATTATTCACAATTAATTGAAATTAGATAATGCATACCTATGGGGAGCAGAATATGTACAGCATCACACTCCTTTTCTCTTCTTCTACTTGTAATTTGTGTAGACCAGTCCTGCATCCTTCCCTTCAGTAGAGGTTAACTGAACTTGCTATACTTCTGCTCCTGTTGCAGTGAAGATTAGACCAAACTCTTCCTCCTCTACAGCACAAATCAGCTCGGCATAGCGTCTGAGCGGTGAGGGTGGGGGGGGGGAGTCCTTTCACATTTCACAGCTGATAGCAGGAGTGAGCAAGCACAGAGAGCAAGAGAGAAAGCCCAAATGTGGGCCTGTTCCACAATGCGTCAGGACTGCAACACCAACACACAGCGCAGTCACGACACAATTGGGGTGGGGTGGGGGGGGGGGGGGGGGGCCCCGGGAATATGCGTGGGCGTTCAGCTTCAGTCACCCCGCGCAGTTGGAATCCATAAGAGACACAGGTCACGGCATGGGCCCTCGGTGCTTTATAGCTCGCTATTTTTTTTCAAATGACAAAAGGCGTTTCCAGTAATGGCGCGGCAGAACGTGGCGTTCAGTCAATGTTCAAGAGACGGGTAACCGATGGAGATGTAATTGGAAAGGCTGTATCAAATGAGCCAGTAAAACACTCTCATAGGGCAATCATCTGGGGTCTCCTGCAGGGGCTGGCACCCTTGACATTGAGGAATACATTATAGGAGCCTGTCTCACGATGTGACCTTTCCTTGGGAGGCTTAAACCTCTGTCTTTTAGGTGGAATTCTTCAAAACGTCTTCACTCACAAAGCAGGACACCCAACAGTAACTGAAATATACTTTATTCCTTGAGCAAAAAAAACTGTTCAGTGATGTGTCTAACATCTGGAATACACCAGAATACATGAAGCCCCAAGAGCGCGCAGGCAGGAACACAAGTAATAGGATTAAATGTCGGCGCTTTGAAAAGCAATTTATGTAACGCTAATATTCAATTTCCTGCCCTGTAAATTACAATTGCGCGATTGCACAACATCTGCCCAGCGAGGACACTTCCCGCAGTTCATTCATCCACCGCCAGCCATTAAGGAAACGCTCGACTCGTGATGGGGTTTTCTATTCAGTCGCAGCACAAAACATGATTAACTGCTAATCCTGGACGAACACACAGGAACTTTTTAAGGGACACCCAGACATTCGGGTGTTTCTTTAGCAGACACATGGAACATTTAAATAAAAACGTCTCAGCGGGATAGTTCTCATTTCTCGTCAAACAATCATTGACAGGGAGCCGGTTTAGCAGACTCAAATCTGACCTCTTTTGCTGCAGTGAAGTATGTTTGCATCTTAAATTACACTCGTCCACAAGACGCTCTGGCTCCCTCCTGAATAATTTTACTCCTCGCACCCTCTCACGTCGTCTCCTTATCTAAATAAAGCAGAGGAGATGCAGCAGCAGGTCCCAGTGTGTAAACAAAAAGCACTCCCAACCATTATCTCCTTTAGCTTCACTAAAACACACTGCAGCAGCCGTGTCCCTGGAATATTGTCTTGATAAATACGATCATGTGTCCAGAATAAAAACACTATCCAGGTTCAGTCGGTTCCAGGTCCGTAGAGGTCCTTCAACATGTACGGCCCCTCCAACTTGTAGCCCATCTTCCTGTAATAGTTCCTTGTTCCTACGCCTGCAAAAAAAAAAAAAAAAAAAACACCAGAGAAGAAGACAAGGAGAAGTGAAACAGCCACCAGTGGAAAAAAACACTGCTGATTCACATTAAACATGCATTGATCCTTGTGGAAGCAAAGTATACAGATGTGTCTGTATTTTCTTAATTAATCCTCCGTGTCGCAGCAAAATGTGGCATTTCATATTCTATTTTCATATCATTCACAAACTTGTTCGGCCATTTAAACTGTAAGATGCAGGCTGAATTATGACGGGCTGGGATTACGCCGACGGGATCACGTGGACAGCCTCACCAAACAACGCATTTCCTCATTATTCGTGCCTCTATCATCATTGTACTAATTATCTGCCCGCACCATCTGCTCTGACTGCAGCTTCGTTCCACCATCCAGACAAGGATTGTCTGAGGAGAGGATAAACGATGCTCCCCCGTGCCGTTTATGTTCTTACCTGAGATAACGGCCATTTTGCTGGAGCCGTGTTCCTCTCTGGCAATCCTCTCTGCCTCCTCCATCAGCATCATGCCAAAACCCTGACGCAGGAAGGAAGGAGAAAGGAACAGATGAGGAGACTTTGGGTAAAATGACAGATTTTTTACAAACGTTTGAGCTGCTTGTGCCTTATTTTGTGGTGAATCAGGCCGGGGTGTTTGGGTGTCTACTCTAGTGCCCGTGTACCTGGTGCTGGAACTTGCTGGGGTCCCGGCTGCTGACGGGGACGACGCTGCCGTAAACGTGCAGCTCACGGACGATGGACACGCCCCCTTTAAGCTCCTGGCGGAAGGACTGCGGTGAGCAGCGGCGCAGGCGCAGCAGGCCAATCAGGATGTCCTGCTCCGGGTCCTCGTAGGAGAGGAAGGTCTCCCAGCCGCCGTTGGCCATGTAGTCCCTCCGCACCAGCTCCACCTGGACACACACACACACACACTCATCTTTGTTAGGGAATGGAGCGGTTGTGCAGCAAACACACAGCATTTGGTAAATGTAAGGTTTCTTTTATGACCAGTGTGTTGAGCAATACGACTCCCTCTCCAGGATGCTGTCCGTTACCTGGTACGGTCTGACTTTGTGGTGGATCTCCTGAATGCCCACCTCTCGTGTTCTCACGTCTCGACACTGCACACAGAGAAACGTTCAAATGGGTGAAACCAGCACGGACACTCAAAATCTAACTATTTATGCTGGTCATTTTTCAGCAATAGCCATTCAGGGGATTTACATTCTGTTAACACCTCTCAGAGCAGTAGCTTTTCATTGTTAGTGGCGGGGTCCGCCATTCCTGCCTTCCAAATTGCCTCCACATGCATGACAGATTCACCGAAAATGATGTGACATGCAGTCTTCCAATGTTTTATAATTGTATCTCATTTACTGGCGTTCACACTCCTTGTTGACCCAACATCTCCTACTGCCTCTCCTTCACATTAAAAGCATTCAACTGGAAGAAAAACACTTTTATTGTGAAGCAGTCAAAAATGTGTGTAGCAAACACGACAATGGTCATTTTAACCTTGTTTTCCCTCCATCTAACTCCTCAGCAACGTTGCTTGTGGCAAATGATAAGTGACTGATGTCTCTATTGGAACAATGTGAGTTTGTTTGGCTGCACTGACAACAGAAACACCAGTTGCTCTTCTGTTGTATTTCAGATGTGAATGTAGCTGCTCACGGAGTATTTGCTGCCCTCAGAATTCTGGAAACCTGTAGTATTAAACCGAACTTGCCGTTGCCGTTAGAATCAACCGGGGCTGACATCGTAAAGAAAATAGACCAGAAGTCTGGTCTGTAAAAACAAACAAAGACTCGGCCTGTAAAAAGACATTTTGCAAGTGATCATGAATTCATTAATAATTAGATAATAAAGTATAAAGTTTTACCAGTGGGGGTGGTGGGAAAAGAGCAGAAGTTGCCACTGATCTTGGCGTGGTCTTATTTCAGCCTGACAGTCAATAAGTGCCCTGCTTGTTTCTAACAGAACTCTTTACCCCATAGGCGTTTTCTGATGAGCAGTCTTTTTGTGATGGGAGTTGGTACGGGGTCCTCTGCTCCATGCGCTGTGCTGGTTGGATAGGTGCACCCCTCCCTGGTGATTTTCAGGCTGGATGAACTCCTAAAGTTGTCATCTACTTTCTGCTTTCCAACATAAAGTCAATAAATGTCGTGGAAGAGAGGGTGCTCCAATTCCACGCTCCAACAGTTTGAAACTCTGCTTAACTCTGTCGCCTTACTCGATCAGATGTAAATGATTCTGACAGTCAAAGTTCTACAGTACCCGTTTGGATCGCGTCCCAGCTGGATAAGTCTATAGTTTATTGGCTTCCTCACTCAAAAGTGAGCTGACACAGAGTCTTAGTTCGAGTCTCACCTCAGTGCCCATGTCTTTCATCCGGGCCAGGGCCAACTCTCTCAGGTTGCCGTGCTCCACTCCGGAGCTCACCAGCGGCATGGGGATGTCCCTGAAAGGAGGAACAAGAGCAAGGAAAAGACAAGAGGATACATAAAATGATGGAAGAACAGCTTTACAATTGTATTTTACAAATGCAACCACATAAACATAAATATATCCCTGAGGCTGTATTCACAAAATATCTTAAAGGGAACATAATGCTCATTTTGGGTTTCACACTTTTTCATTTTGGGTTTCAACAAGCGCATCTTTACCTACTTTAATGTTCGAAAAACTTTCTGAATATACCTGTAATCACTATGTTTGAAACTCTTCATTTTAGCGCCTGTCTCTTTAAGAGCCCCCTCCCAAAAAAAGTCCAGTGTGCTCTGATTGGTCAGTGTTTCCTGGTCTTCCGTATCTGCGCTGTCATCGCAGCATCACTGCACCCAGGGACTCACTGGTTGTATCAACTACACTGAGTTTAGCATCACTTCTACCAGTGACTGTCGTTGTGACGTCACATCCTTACGAACGTCCTGAAGGCTTGTTTAAAAGGTACAATGCCTGAATACACGCTGTGTGCATTTCTCTGCGGATTGAGTGACTTGATATTTTCACAGTATATATATATATATATATATACACATACACACACATATACATACATACATATACACACACACACACACACCTAGACCTGCTTCATAATCAAATCAATATCTCACTTTCTACAATATGGGACATTTAAGTCTATAAGTAGCTCCTTTCTGGCAAAGTTTGAAGAAAATGAACAGGTTTGTCAGTTTTAACTTCTGGACTTCCTACGTTTTTGGCTTATGTATATGTAAGTGTATATGTCTAGGGCTTTTATTGTGAAAGGTAAGAACAGAAGGAGTGGATTTTAATATAATTATTATGGTCTGTCCTGCCTTTATAAAGGTTGAAAGGAGTAGTGAAGTTTCCCGTCTTGGTTTCAGACTACGGAGCCTCTGTGTTCCGCACAATTGCACGATTGGTTGATGCATTTATTAAAGCTCAGAAAAATCAGCCTCGCTCCAGAAAAAAATGAGGTTACCTTTTTGCCAAGTGATAATTGCATTACGTGTTAAAGAATTTAAAAAACAACCGTTTGACGTGTGATAAAAAAATGAAAAAAAATGTCTGAAGAGTAATTGTCAAAGCATTTAGAAGTATTCCAGAGGACTCCTGTCACTAAGACCTTTGTTGTCTCACCTCTGCACCCGGTAGACCCGTGTCCAGGGGGGCACCAGCGCCAGGATGCGGGCCACTAGGTCCACCAGGGCACTGGGCGTGTAGCTCTTGTACCGGCCTGTCTTCCACAGCTCATACAGGCCCGTACCTCGGATCACCAGCGTCGGGTACAGCTTCAAGCCATCGGGCCTGAACGCTGGGTTCTCGAAAAACTCCTGCAAGAGAACACGTAGATCCATGTGACGCGTTAAAGCCTAAAGCGAATGGCATTTCTCTGGAGACATTACGGCTGAAAAAAAAAAAAAAAAAATCACAAAGTCACAGTTTCTTTCTCATAACTCTTTTGAAATGGAATTTCTGACACAATCTGAAATTAATTTAACACACTGAAGTACTTCAACATGAAGAACAGCAACGCATCCATTTATTTGACATTATCTGTTTTACCACACAGTATGGACCGACATTTACTGTCTGCAGGGTTGAATTTGAGACGTACACAGCTTATTCTTTAAATTAACAATAAGGGCGAAAAAGAATGAAGAGGAAATGAATAACGGTGGTTCGAAAAGAAAGCCTGAGTTTATATCATTCATGGGGAAGAAAAACAAAAAAAGGTCAATAAAAAAGGCTCCATTTGCAAAGGCACCGCCTCCTAAAACGTGAAGGAGGGCATCCACAGAGCTCGTGTTAAGCAGATATCAACCGCACAACAGCGCTGCGTTATTCAATTGCAGGACTTTTTCTGGGTCTGGTTTATCATGGCGAAGAGGAATCAGTGTGATTTCCAGTCATCCTCCCCTCTCTGCTCCGCTATCATGATCAGAACCGTGAAGATCTGGAATCGAGGCGCATTCTCCAAAATAGGCCGCATTATCGGTATCTCATGATCTCTCTCGTCACAGCTCATAATCACACGGGCACATGTCCCACATGGCCCTGCACTAAACCCCTAAAGGGAGGGATCGGGGAGCCAATCTGACAAATAACAATTCTTCCATACCCAAAAAATGAAGAGACACTATTTTGATTCTGCACCTGCTCCTTTTTTTTATTTTTTTTGGATCACATATCAGAGCTCCTTTGGTCGGTGGAGAGGAACCCTGTTAAGGGATGCCTCCCCCGGGACATGGAGCATCTGTATATGGGAGATAAGTGCGGGAGCATCTAAGGCCGGGAGGAAGTTGTAATCGAATTTCTTTATCAGGACAGCCATGACAGATGCGAGGAGGATGCAAAGCTCTCCTGCTGCTGCTCCTGAAACGGGTCTGTGGTCCCACCGACATTAGGAATTCAGCTGGGATATGATCAGAACAACACACGCGATAAAGATAATGGCTGAAGGAAGAACGCATGTTTGAACGAATGGGATTAATGCAAACAGAAAATAAAATTAAGAAATCCTTCCTATAGCTGGCAACCAGCCCTGAAGAGCTCTGTGTCTGAATGAAATAATTATTATCAATTTTTCATGGTTTTTATATTCGAGTAAACATCCCTCCACTGAAACCTCAGCAGCTATTTGCATCATTTGATTCCCTTTCTTATCAAATTGGATACGGCAAGCAAACAAAACCTATGAGCTGGATTTTTTTATTCATCCGTCCACTTATTATATTTTCATGCTTAATCCTTTTAAGGGTCATGGGGCAGCTGCAGTCTTAGTGCAGGACGGGCTGCACAACTATAGCCAAAATTATTACCACAGATGAATTGCTCAGTCTTGAGATAAAAAAAATATTCATCCAGATTTTTTGTATCCATTCAACAAAATATTGTTATTCTCCTAAAATAGTGTGCAGGATTGAGGTGGCTCTATGCTTTCATTAGTGTTTACATCGCCTGAAACTAAGACTCGTCACGTTTTTGTTAGCTTGGAATTAGCCGTTTATATCGACATAAGGAGCGGGTCCTCTTCACGTAGTCCGCCATGTTGCACACAGGTGGCAACATTCTCTCTTGATTTATTCCCTCAGTAAACATGAGTTTATGGTCTCAATCTCTAGTTTCAAGTCTTCTTCAATACAGCATGATGTTCATTTCGTAAATTAAATGAACCCTTCCACAGTGAGTTTTCAGTTCAAAGTAAATTGGAACATTTTTGTCGGCTAAAAATGTCTCATTCAGTGCTTGTACGTAGGTCCACCCTCTTGTTTCAAAAAACAAAATGGCAAAGGCCAAAAACCAAGACGGCGATGGCCAAAATGCCGAACTCTAGCTTCACAACCGTATTCCACAAACCAATGGGTGACGTCGCGGTGACTACGTCTAAGTCCATGTTTGAACCAAACACTGGCTCTAGAAAGGGCCTTTTATGATTTGACATTCCCTGTAGGCCACTGTAGTTATCCGACATGCTTGGAAAGGGAGATGTGAGCGGGGGCTTGTTCAGTTGATTGCAATCGGCAACCTCACCACTCGATGCCACTAAATCCTATACACTGCTCAATGAATGCGTTCAAATTTCGCTAACATTATTAGTTTGTAAGATAGATATTTTAGTGGAACAATGTATCTAACGTTAGCTAGCTAGCCTACAGATAACGTTTGTTCTCACCGGCCGAACAATCTTTTTAGCTGACGTTACTTTTTCCACCCAACAGAGTTAGCACACAGCTTGTGTAATTGTTAGCTTTATCTCAAGCCGTGTTTTTGTGTTGTTCGCTCCTCTTGCGCTTGTGTAGATTCATTGTCCTCAAACTAGCAACCAGCGTCAGCTTTGAGTCTTCGACGCTTCAGTGCAGGGGGAAACAACCCCCTCAACTAATTAGAATTTGGATGGCAGTATCCATTTTAAAAGATAGTTGTCACTATTGCATATTGTTCCTTTGACATCTAAAGTTCTTTTTTGCTTAAAATGCAAGTTGCACACATCTGGATCCATTTCCTTTTTTATGTAAAATACAGTCTAGTTGAGGGTAACCGCTAAAGATGCTGTTGATTGTAAACAAACGAGTTATCTTCACGTCTTTACAAACCAAAATGCACTAGGTGTATCATTGAGGTCCAACAATTATGTTAAATCCATTTCCTTTTTCAATTTTCAGAATATTTTATGTCCTGCATTGTTTACATCTGTGTTTGCGGTCTTCTTGTGTAGCCACATTGCTACGCCTCTTTTCACCACCACCAACTGTAGATCAGAGGAGTAATGTGACACCAGACTGTGGATCGTGTACTTATGCAAACAAAACAGGGGCCCACTCATAACAACATTGCTCCACAGCGCAACCTGTGGCCTAAACTCAATTAGGTACTTTAAATTGAGACAACCTGAATATAATTCATTCTGAGGTACAAATGGGAAAACCTGTCATACTTGTATGCATCTATTTTCCACTACTTCCACTTCCCGTCTGACTATTACTAGACACAACCTGTGTTCGAAGTGCAGCTGGAAGTTTATGGATTCCGCTAAAGAAATCATGAGATGCTTAGTTTGGATCCCGGAGTGAAGATGTTCAGGAAGCTGTGTATGTTCCCCGCTCACTGACACGGTTGTGTGTCATGGGAGATTAGATGTGACAAGGAAGAGCAAAAGGGGAGACACACACAAGCTGTATGATCTGAAAGTGTCGGCGTGAGGAGGGAGGCGGGGGGGGGACTGAGACGAGAGACGGACGAGGCAACGGGCGAGATGGGGGAGAAGAGAGACCGGCTGACAGAAGAGGAGTGAAAGCGTCAAGTGGAAAGTTACGACGAGAGGAGAGAGGTGGAAAAAGATGAAGCGGAAGATAATGGAGACGACAGAAAGGCGCGAGGGGAAAAGAGACAAAAACAAGGAGACGGGAGACAGAACACGCTGGAGAGACAAGAGACAGCAGAGACGAAGGAAGAAATGAAGTTCAGCAGGAGAAGTGACAGAGGACGTGGAACAGGAAAGCAAAGAAAGAGACTCTGTCGGCTAAATACACATTTAATCTGCTTCCTCTCACTGTGCCGACCTGCTGCTGCCCCCACATTGCCATCACACACACACACACACACATTGAGGTAATGGAACAAATCTGCAGGAAGACACAGATTCTCTTCCACAACTTCAATATTTTCTTGTGAAAAATGAAGCACTCCGAGCTGTTGATGCTTAGAAGATTGGAGATGTCCTGAGTGCCTTCATGCCCATCATGAAGATTCCCATTTTCCTCAGTCAGCGTTAACAACACACAAAAATAACCTCGAAAAATGGTGCTTTGCTTTCGCACAACTACAACTTTTTCAGTTACAGCCCGACCGAAAGATGATGTTATTGTCGATCAGCATCAGCATACGTGTACATACAGTAGTTTTTTTCCACCAGTATTAACAAAATAGACATTTTGGTTTTGTCCGTAGATGAAACAACAATCTGGATGGTCGTCTGTGAGTCGGACGGTCCATCACTTTGGTCCACACTGAAATATCTTGGATGGATTCCCATCAAATGAATATATTTATGGTCCCCAGAGGATGAATCCTAAAAACTGTAGTCACTCGAATCACTGCTGTGCCGGAGTATAACCTCTCAGTACGGCTAGCATTGCTGCAGACTCAAGTTGTTATGCTAAGCTAACGTCTCCCGCCTCTATCTTCATACTTAATCTTCTCATCTTATTTCCAGCGAGAAAGTGCATCAATGCGTTTCTGAAAATGTCATGCTACATCCTAAACTTTACTCTCACAAAGTGCCCCCCCCCCCAAAAAAAAAACAACAACAACAACAAAACAGAGAAACAGTTCAACTCACAGTCAGATAGAGAGGGATGTTGTTGCTATTGTTGGATTCGAGACAATGAGTGACATGTTTTGGTAAGAGTCACCGGTGTGCGTCAGATTCTCGTCTGCACCAATTAGTGAAAATCTTTTATTTTCCTTCTTTGTGTCACTAATCACTTCACTTCTGTTTTCATCAGTGTAAAAAAAAAAAAAAAAAAAAAGAAGCCAAATGAGCCTCAAACTGAGTCTTCATTTACATCCTACAGTCAGGCGTTCGTCTGGTCCCACACACTCACATTACAGCTGTGTTTCCAATCAGAGCTGTGACGAGAGCCTGCTGCTGAGCCACGTCTGACGGCATTCTCTACTCAGTCGAGCCACAGTTGAGACTGCGAGGCGACTGTCGCAGCTCTTCTGTTTTTCTATTTTGAAGACGCTACATGTAGGACTTACTTGTTGCTACACCACTGTGAACTAAGTAGCGGTGACGCACGCTGATGCCGAGCAAAGGAAGGAGATATGATAATTGCTAATGTCACAAACTTAATCATCGACTTATTGCATGACTTTTATGGTAACATTTTAAGTCTGTAGCCAGGCGGCAACCTCCCTAAAGTCTACCTGAACCAAATTACTCTGGAACTTTCTAGAGCTTAGCCCAATGCTATTGTACGCACAACATGCCTTCTGGTTTATTTTGTCTCTTTAGGAGCATAGAGCCACTCTGTTGGCTCAAATATGGTATTATTTATGAAAGCTTACGATAAACTGCTCCACGTCCCTCTCCATGTCCACGTTGGGCAGGTCTGGCATCATGTGGGCGACCACCTTGAAGCCGGCGTCCTTCGAGAGTTGGAAAGACTCACATACGGCCCGCACCGTGTGGCCTCTGGAAGAAACAAGCCGGAAGGTAACAGAAAGAAAAGCATGTTCTCTCCATCGCACGCCATCGGACCGGCTGCTGTAATGGGCCACGTCTGCTCGCATAGCATCCGTCCGCTCATTCATTCATTCCTGTGACGTACGGACCTGTTGGTGTCTCGGGCCACGTCTTCATACACACTCTGGACTCCTATCTCCAGCCGGGTGCAGCCGTAGCCCAGCATGTCGCTGAGGTGTCTCTTCAGGCAGTAGTCGGGCCGCGTCTCGATGGTGATCCCCACACACTTGGTGTTACTGCGCTCAGAGTACCTGCATGAGGAAACCGCTTCAGTCATTCCTGTCATAGATTATTTCTGCTCTTAATAGTCTTATATCTTATAATATAAGTCTTGCTTTGATATAATAACCTCTTTATTCTATTTATTTTAGTCCCACTGAGTATGTTGGAGTGTTTCTTATGCTGGGATCATTAAGCAACATCAATTTACAAGCTGGGAGTTTGCACGGCTCATTATCCAGACTCTGGCCCCACATTATGGACACACTAAAATGCAATAAAGGAAACACAGGATGGGGAAAAAAAGATTATGTTTGCAATGCAAATGTGAAATGAGGCATTAATGCGTGTTTACTCTGTGTCAAAAGCAAGTTCAAGTCTGAGATTGTTCAGTTATTTAGAAGTCCTGAAGGGATCTGGAGTTGTTCTTCTGCTGTGTTTACAGGTTGGTATCAGTATCCAGCTAGACATTCAATAGGACGACCAACTTCATTAATAAATGAGAAGTATTTTTTTTTAAATGACATAAGAAGAAAACAATGATTGCTCTAATAACAATGGTTGTATGGGTTAGGGTTAGTAATTATAATAGTTGAAAGGTCAACGTTATGAACAAAGAGTTTAAGCATCGATCTATTCGTTACAGCCCTACTGCTTACCGCCATCACTGCCTGCCATTATCAATACAAATGTATGTTTTCAGGGGCATATTTATCCACCAACACTTTTACTGGTGAAGAGTCGTCTCCCACATCACTTTTTCATTTCAAAAAAATTATCAATTTTGTGTAAACATAACTAGCTTTGTATACAACCAAAACATGACATCTTTAATTGAATCTGACTATTGGGCAGTACCTCCACGGTCCACCAGTGGTTGAGAACAGCTGGATGAAACGACTGTGGGTACTGTTCACCACATTAACTTCATGAGGTGATAATAGAAAACAGTTCATGTAGGTTTGAATTAATCAATCAGTTCGTGCCGGTTGGACCTCAAGGGGCCCCTGAGCAGCAGGAGACCGCTGTAGCATTAATTGAACAAGCTATCCAACGATTTCCCATGAAGACTTTCAGTGAGTTTTCAATGACGAGTAATCCTCACGTTCATCTTCGTTTTCAACCAAACTTTTAAAGCGAGACTAAAATGAAACATGCATACACATTACGGACGGGAGCCGAATAAACTACAGCCCTCCCCATCTCTTCACTGCATCTTTGTATATCACTTCTATACTACTTTTATCTCACTTCCCCATTACTGTATGATCCTCAAACCGATTCCCCAACACTAGGCCAACCTTAACCTTTGCGACCGATCACTGAACGAGTTTTGCCTGCATGCCGTGGGACCAGGACTCCTGGAAGACGCGTGATGTCCACAGAGCAACAGGTCTGCCCATCGAAGCAGTAACAGCAGCAGCCAGATGTGGAAAGTGACCCTTTAAATGTAATCTCAAGACAGATATTTTTCTGAGCTTCATCATGACTCCACTGATCAGTGACTCAGATGAGTCAAACCCCCCGCCAAAATGAAAACAAACAACAACAGACGCATCTCGTCCCAGCACGCCAGCCGGCTGTCATTTTCTCCCCTCCAGCTGCTCCAATGACCATTAGCTCTCCTCATGGTGGCGCATATTCCTCCCGATTCTGTATCTGCCGGCAATAAATGTCCATCTTTTTCAGTCTGCTGGCTGATTTACACCAATTACAGGAGTGTGTGCTACAGAGAGGGTGATCAGATTGTGTTGGGTGAATCAATAAAAAGTCTATTATCTCGGCCGATTATCTCACGGTACCTCGCTGTTGGGATCAGATCGGGAGCGTGGTGACAAAAATGCTCACCCCCGCACACATGCGGTGACATCACACACACACACACACACACACACACACACACACACACACACACACACACACACAGAGATAAGGGCTGTCCCCAGCCAACCGAACCAAGTTTCCTCCTTCACAAACTGAGCAGCAGCCACCGCAATTACCCCAATCACAGCATCTTAACGAAGGCTGCTGATAGCACACACACACACACACASGGTGACAAACACACACGGGAAGAGAACACACTCTCACACACTGGCCTCTCTGGTCTTATCGGAYTTGAGAGAATTAAATAGCCCACCCCCGCTGGCAAACAAACAGCCTCGGTCCTGAGGAAAAAGTCATTATTTGGTCAAATGGTCTGTATGACGTCTTTTCGACGAATGGGTATTTCTACTTTGTCTTTGAATTGTCTCCAAGTCATCAAAAAAGAAAGTTGCTGCTCATCCATACTGAGCAGCCGCGCGGCTGAATTCATCTGGACTCCGTAAGCGAGAGATCGATCGGAGGGAACCGAAGAGGACTCACTCAGAGCAGCCTCACTTATCTGCCTGCTGCATCCTGAGCGGGTTCATTCAGCAGCCTAATCTGTGGAGATGATCCTCACGCCATGGCTTCCCACATAGTGTCTGGTGTTTAGCTGTGGTAAGTTTGATGGGAGCGGGGGGGGGGGGTCAAGGGGATGTAAAACACATCACGGTGGAAAATGTTCAGGGAGATACGGTGCAATCTTTCCCATGTTGCATAGTGCACACAGAAAAGAGTTTTTCTGTGTGCACTGGGAACGGACGGGAGGAAAGGGATGTAGTGCTTATTCCAATTATAGTTGCTGTTTTTTATTTATGTTAAAAACATGTCAACTTCATGATGACAAAGTGGAATTATGTATTGTATGACAGATATTTTTTTATAACTAGTTAATTATTTAAGGTAAAAAAATCCTAATATTTTCTGGTTCCATATTCTCACTGCAAATTCAATATCTTTCAGGTTCGAACTAAATAAATGACAATGTATATATGCAAAATGCAACCTCTAAGTTTCTGTCAATAAAACAGGATGATGTCACAGAGTCATATGTCAGTGGGAAAGAAATGTCCAGCAGTAGAGGAAAGCTAAATGAATGACTGTGGAGGAAATTCTACAAGTGGTGGAGAAGCTCCCTCTGGTGGAGACTACTGTTAAATATTTTCAGATATGCTTCTTTGCAGTTGCAATAAACAACAGCATAAATACAGAATGGGGTTAACCTTTTATTAAGAGGAAGAAGAAGAACACTATACAAATATCAGGGGTTACCTGACGGCCTCGGCCACATTGTTGGAGGTGTGTCCTGACAGGGCGTCGTGCAGGTTCCTGATGAAGTAGTCTCTGTACTCCTCGGGCAGAGCCATGAAGGTCCCGCCCATCACGATGAACTCCACCTTGTCCACGCTGTGACCCAGCTGCTTCAGCTGCAGGACGACACACAACACACACAGGAGCTCTGAGCAACTACAACAGTGCCATTCGGCAGTATTGAGACATTTTACGGGCTCTTAATTGGGAGTACATACAGTACAGTAAAATAATGTTCATAATATCAATAGTAGTTATTAGGATTGAGCATAGTATCTTGAGAGATAAACTGGAAATATACTTGAAACAGCAATTGCACATCAAGCTGACTTCCAGCTGTCTGAACTCAATGGAAACAGAGGAGGACTGTTGCAAAGTGAGATTCGCAGATTGCTCCGCTGCATTAGACTAATGTGGCCATAAATTTAAATAAGGGCGTAATTGGGGTCGGGTCTTGGCAGGCGGGGGGGGGGGCAAAGCCATGACACTCATTACTGTGAACTCGATATATATTATCAATGCTTCTGATTTATACACGTGCATGCATGGACGGTCACTGCACAGAAGCTGATTTGGGGAATTAGTTTCATGGTTTTTAGTTTTAGCACCTTGTGACTAAACTATGAAAGAAGTTCCACAGATAAACTAAACAGAGGCAGATGTGTCGAGCAACTACATTACATATATATATACATACATATACACACATATATATATACATATACACATATATACACACATACATATACACACATATATATATGTGTGTGTATGTGTGTGTATATATATATATATATATATATAAATATTGTTGTGTAAAAGGTAATAGCCAAGCCTGGATTGAAAAGACACTGCAGGGTTACACTGACCTGCTCCACCCGGTGTCTGGTCTGAAGGTAGGGGTCGTAACGTGCTCGGATCGCTCTCATGGACGTTGGCTGTCAAAGAGAGAATCATAAAAAACATGCTAAAAATTTATATCTTAAGTTAAAGTCAAAGTTCAACCCAAAACAAAGACTGGATGAAACTACCGTACCTCGTAGCCGGTGTAAGACTGTGTGGAGTACTCGAAGTCTGAGTCCGGTCCACCGGGACAGTAGCTGCCAGAGAACACATTGAGGCATGATTTAAAAAAGGGACAGTTCACCTCAAAATACACAAGATACATATTCATCCTCTTACCTGTGGCTGAATGTATCAATCTAGATTGATTGGATGCGAGTTGATATCTCTGTCCAGAAATCATGACACGGTTATTATGGTCGTTTCAACGATGGTTGAAAGAAAATAGTCCCTCCATAAAACTGCTCACAACAATATCTGTGGATTGTTTTGAGTAAACGGCTCATGATTTGTGGAAAGAGACACTACTCTTCAGTTCTTCAAATGGAATTATTTTTGCAGTGCTTTGAGCACCACAAGCCGAGTGCCATATAGTGTCATTATATTGTAGAGGAGACATCTATACAGCCGTTATCGCCAACTCACACCAAAACTATTTATATTGATAGATAGCACTACAGGTAAGAGGGGAAATATGGATTTTGGGTTGAACTGTCCGCTTGGAACAATAAATGCATAAACATGTGATTAAAACAACAACTAGTTGTTCTAAATGAGCCATAACAACTGGAACCTCTATCGGTGGTTTTATCAACATCTCTTGCAGCCTAAGTTCTTGGACGTGAACTTGTTCAAATGAGAATGAACATAATCATGCTCTGCTAACATCTACAGTGCACAATTTTCAAATTAAAATGAAATAAAAAGGTTCTGCAACAGAATTAAGTAAACCTTAAAAATGTTGGTGAGGAGGACACCCATTACTCACACACAGATGTTGCCCGTGAAGCTGATGTGCGGACATCTGTGCGGTTTGCACATCACAGCCACCACCGCGATCTGGAGAGGAGACGCAAAATAAGTCAATCAGACTACACATATTGCAGTGATGTTGCATTGTCTGTGACAGGTTCTTGTATTTCTTTGGCTAGATGCAGCCAATGCCTTTCAGCTGTTTGGTTACAGCCTTACAGTGCCCGGCATTAAATTGCTGACCCCAGGTCAGGGCACTTTGCAGGCTACTTACCCCGCTGGCAGTGCGGATGGGTTTGGCCTTCAGTTTGGGCACCAGAGCACGCCGGTAGTGTTGGGGAACGGCAGCAATGATGTCGACCAATCGAGGCTGGGCTTCGAGTCCATATTTCGCTGAAGTCTTAGTCTTCACTCTTTTGAAAAGAGAATCATAACAAAATAAATATATATATATATATATATATATATATATATATATATAGCATAGTCTAGTGTACATCGCAGTAGGAGAGTTTTAGTCTTTTGTAATCCTCACGTTAATATGTAAAAGTACAAGTCCATGAACAGACACTCAAGTACAATTCAAAAGGAGTCTGACTCAAAGTTCCAATCAATGGGTCACAAACAACAATGCTTCCTTATAATAACTCTTGCTGACACTTTAGATTTAAGGGCTCTTTCTAAAAAAGACAATGACACATCAATTACGTTGTTAATTAAACAGTTGTATTGTCATACTGCCAGGAAAAAAAAAAGAATTGCTATCAGTAAAAAGTAAAAACAATAATGACTGACGGTTGCTTTTTAAAGCTGATGTCAGCCTTTACACAGGCCCTGTTTCATACTCTTCAGCACTGCGACTTAAATCACAGGGAAAAGTGAATGATTTTATAAATATGTAAAAGAAACACACCATTCTAAATCTACTGTAATCTGTAGACATCCAGACAGCTTGCAGAGCACTGTAATAAAAGGGTTATGTGGTGTGTAGAGTACCTCTGATCACTGTGTGTATACATCGGGAGGACTTACTTGTTGAGATTGATGTCTTTGCCCTCTTCATGGGCTTCAACCAGCTGATTGATAACATCAGCAATGGTCATCATCATCAGCTCAGCTCGGCTGAGATCACCTATCAAAGATAATCAACATAGTGTGACCACAATGTTTTTAGTGTTTCCATGCAGATACGAAAAGCGGAATCTACAAGCTTCGGGTACAGCTAGTGTTAGCTCTTGCAGTTTGTAAAACCCGTTCTCAGTAACTGGATGAATTCAGGCTTAAGCACGAAGGATTTTCAAAAGATGTACGACTCGTTTTTAAGACTAAAACTTCAAGTTGTATCGCTGTCATCGTGTTGTGAGACTTGGAAAGACAAGTTAGCACTAGCAACAAGCTAAAGCCAGCCAGACCGGTTTAGGAAGTCATTTCAGATCATTTTAACACATTGTAACACACTCACTCTTTTTCTTTGGCTTTCCCATTTCTTCCTTTAGTCACACAGTCAAACTTCCAACGGATAGATGCTGGTTTGCAGGATTACAACTGTTTTTATCCAGTGGGGGCTGTCATAAATAGTAAACAACTCCACGTTGCGTCTACACACGGCTTCTGTCGTAAGGCAGTCGACACTGTCATAAAATTACGTAAAACACGCTTCTCAACGAAAGTAACTGCTGTTTTACCACTGTGTTGTATTGGGTTAATTAGCATTAACTAAGAATATTTGTTCTTATCATGTCTTCACATGTTTTGGATAAATATCTTTGAACGAAAAGCACAGACGTGTAATGCACGTGGAGCCACACTGTGGCGCTGAATTCCCTCTCAAACCAACCGTGCGAGCGCGTGCAGAGCAGAGCGCGACTGGGGATCCTGGGAATCTCACTAAGTCTCACAGCAAATCCCTTTAGCTGAGAGTTGACATGGCTTGACTGATCTCCGGAGGAAGTTTCAGGAAATGCAACAGGTGGAGGAGCCGAGGGAATGAACTGTGTACTGTCGTGAGTGTTGTTTTAGACTTACACATTGAAACCAGGGTGTCATAGTACACTGTACTGGGGTTACGGTTACATTTATCGGGGGTCATTATGAAAGCATTTGACCCTTCTCTATATGTGTGCTGTTCTCCAGCTCTCGTTAGCGTCCCGGGCTAGCTGCTGGGTGTTCCTCAAGGTGCCTGCGAGAGTCGGACAGCGAAACTACTGCGCACTCTTTTCCACACGGTTTGTTCACTTCTCTTTTAAATATACTTTGACCTTCAGCTTGTTATCTCTTCGTTTTCGTTTTTACAAGCTGCTTGGAGTTGGGTTTAAGTAATAATAGTGTTACAAGTAGCAGGAGTTATTTTATTGGGTTTATTTATAGATATTCGTATCTGGCGCAATGACGAGCTGTGTTCAGGCCTATGTGTATGTTCAAATTGAGTTTGAATTAACTCTACATACAGAGTGTAATTTGCATCTCTTGTGTCCATTCATATATATACAAGTCAGGTGGCACCATGGATGATAACAGCCTGAACGACTCCAACGTAAAGGTCGCTGTTCGTGTGCGACCAATGAACAGGAGAGGTGAGTAACTTGTCAGAGTGACACTTTTATCAGTTAGGAGTTGGACCGCACTTATTAGTCTGTTTTTCACGGGACAAACAGTTATTTTTAACAACGATGCCCAGCTTCAAAAGGGGTGTTTTGGTTTGTGAAGCCAGGATTATTTTCGAGGTTTCATAACTATGTTTTACACAGCTTGTTTCACCAGGTCGGGCTCTGAAAAGGTCCATTCTGCCCCTCTTTGGAAACGAGTTTTGGCTGCAGTGCTGTGAGAGTAGAAATGGAAAGAAATATGGAAGGAACAGTGACATCACATCCTGACACAAAGGGCACCGTGTACAGTGTTGTGTTCAGTGCTGAGGACTGACAGGCCAGCTGACAAACGTTTTGTGTTGCTGAACAGCAGCTGCAACTTTCCCTTTCATTTCATGTAATAAATCACTTTTCCAAGTGAGTTTCTACAAAAGCTTTTAAAACTACAAATATGCCTAATTAAAGGTGCAGTATGTAGAGTTTGACGGCATCTAGTGATAAGGTTGCAGAAGGCAGCACACTGAGAACTACGCTGGCCGACCGTAGACTGTATATAAGAAGTGGACGTAGTCATCATGAGGTCGTTTTGAAGCCTCAGGTTCAGCGTTTTGGCCTTCGCTATCTTGGATTACGGCCGTCACCATCTTGGCTTTTTGCAACCGGTGAACGGAAGTGACCATATTTGGACGGTGGGTATGTGACGTGGAGACACCGTATACGGCTCTGATAGGGTAGCGACCTGTCACTCACAAGGTTGACCCGCCCTAAAGCATACTCTGCTTTACTGAAATTACTCTAAAATGAACCATCATCTTATATGAACATCATGCTGTATTGAAGAAGAGATTGAGACCATAAACTCATGTTCCCAATGTTTACTGAGGGAATAAATCAAGTGAGAAGTAGAGTCATTTTCTCATAGACTTCCATTCAATCAGACTTCTTTTTGCAACCGGAGGAGTCGCCCCCTGCTGGTCAGTAGAGAGATGCAAGTTTTAAGACACTTAATATGCATCGGCTTCACTCTTCAGAACCGGAGGTTGCCTCCTGTGGCCAAAGCAAAAACGCAAACTTAGAGCCATTGTTTGGTTTGTCCGTTCTAGGCTACTGTAGAAACGTGGCGGCTTGCTCCTCAAAGAGAACTCGCTTTGTATGTAAATATATTAAAGGCTCATTCAAGGGCAACAAAAACACAACGATTCCTATTTTTAGGTAATTATAAACTAAAGAAAACATACTTATTCATATTACATTCCATTTCTGCCAATATACCCCCCTAAATGCTACACACTGGCCCTTTAGGTGTAACAATGGAACATCTTACAACACACGTGCACCAAATCCTGCTCTGACAGGAAGTGTCTCCGCCTTTTAAAACCTTATACAGTAGGTAGGAATGAGGAAGAGTAGCCCTGACCCTGCTTTTCTTTACTATCTGCTCTTGGAGTAGTAAAGTGGTTTTAGTGTTTGCACAGGCAAGTCCTGGGATGAATCACCAAAATAAAACTATTTCCTGCCTCTCCACATTGTGCTGTTTGTGTCCTGTGATGGCTGTTGTGTCAGCGACTACTAAAGAAAGTCAGAATCACCAGTTAAGTCAGTACACGGTCTTTAAACGGTTCAAACAGTACATTTTGGTGATTGGACAGCCTTTTTGCAAAAGCGACTTAGCACACTGTACATTTTACTTCTTTTCTTTTTTTTGGGCCTATTTACTTGTCAACAGTCTGGTTCTGTTTGTACTGCAGGGAAAATATGTTTACTGTTATCATTGACAATACATCATTTTTCCTCCATTGACTTCTGTTTCGTTCCAGAAAAAGACCTAAAGACCAAATGTGTGGTGGAGATGGAGGGGAACCAGACAGTCCTGCATCCGGCCATCACCAACGTTGGCAAAGGAGACCCCCGGTAAGCCGCAGAGTGTCACACACCAGACACACACGTTACCATCAGTTTAATGCAAAACCATTCAACAGTTGAAAGCTGGGTTATTTAGCAGTTGTTTGGCTTTGTCTCTTACTTGTGACATTTTTTGATTGTTACAAAAGCGTTTGTGGCTTGAGTCACAGAACTTGGACTCAAGTCAGATTCAAGTCATAAATCTGATGACTGAAGACTGGACTTAACAAAATAATGAAACCTTCTGGTGAGGAGCGTATAATCGCTTGTCAACTTGTTTTAGACACCAACAAAAGTTTAGGACTTATTGGTCTTTACTCAAGACTTGACTCAGGACTTGTTGGTATTGACTGGGGACTTGTTGATCTTGACTTTGACTTTGGTCTTGACTCGGGACTTGGTCTTGACTTGGGACTTGACTTGGGACGTGTTGGTCTTGACTCGGGACGTGTTTGTCTTGACTTTGGTCTTGACTGGGGACTTGACTCAGGACTTGTTGGTCTTGACTTGGGACTTGACTCAGACTTGTTAGTCTTGACTTGGGACTTGACTCAGGACTTGTTTGTATTGACTGGGGACTTGACTCAGGGCCTGTTGGTCTTGACTTGGGACTTGACTCAGGACTTTTTGGTCTTGACTTGAGACTTGACTCAGGACTTTTTGGTCTTGACTGGGGACTTGTTGGTGTTGACTGGGGACTCGACTCAGGACTTGTTGGTCTTGACTTGAGACTTAACTCAGGACTTTTTGGTCTTGACTTGAGACTTGACTCAGGACTTTTTGGTCTTGACGTGGGACTTGTCTCTTGAGTTGTTGGTCTTGACGTGGGACTTGACTCAGGACTTGTTGGTCTTGACGTGGGACTTGTCTCCTGAGTTGTTGGTCTTGACGTGGGACTTGACTCAGGACTTGTTGGTCTTGACGTGGGACTTGTCTCCTGAGTTGTTGGTCTTGACTTGGGACTAAAAATAGTATTGGAGGTTTCTACTGGAAGCTTTCTTTACGCCATTATTTTGAAGTTTGACAAAATAATACCAAATCAGGGTCCACCTACTAGCTTTTTTTCAGGAGCTTTCAACCGTATCACACAAGTCTTCATCAGCTGATAGAAAGTGCTCAGATGGATCTGTTGACATGTGAGCGTAGCATCTGTTTTGCCTCATTCAAGAGTATAAACGTACAGTAATTACAGTATATGGGTTCCACTAGTTTCATTCCCTCAGAGAGTTTAGAGAGTCTGTAACCAGCCCGTCAAGTTAGCACCCAGTTGCTTAAAGAAGCTCAGCTCCAAACCTCACCCCACCCATCCTCCCTCTATTACTCCTTCCATTCTTCCTTCTCCCTCTGTGTCCTTCTTGAATCATTGCTCTCTTTACAAAGGGCGTGTCTGTTCCAGCTCAATCCTGCTCAGGTAGCCAAGCCACGATTTAAAAGGAATTAGAACAAAGTAGAACAACATTTAAGATCTCAGATTTTACATTAGAATGTATGCATCCAGTCTGGAAAGATTTGTCTTTGGTTTAATATTACAACATCACAGCTTTCATCTGTGTAATGCATCAAATGTCAGATGTTGTGGGTGCAAAATGTGCACTCATTGTGTTAAATTAAACAATGCGCCACGGGGCACAGTGTTGGCTTTTGACAAAGAGTCCGGTCCTCGTCTTTCCTCCTCGCAGTGAGTCAGAGCAGCGCAGGTAGATGCTCTCTGGAGGTTCTGGTCTCCCTTCTCAGGTTACCTTGTTCAGTAAAAATGCCTCAGGGCAATCCCCCCCAGTAACAGAGAGTATGAATCTTCCTCTTTGTAAAAAGAGAGTGTCTCATATTCCATAGTTATGCTTTGTGTGTGTGTGTGTGTGTGTGTGTGTGTGTGTGTGTGTGTACCTGTGTGTCTCCTCTGCCCTGACATGCTTCAGCAGCAGTATGCTTCCCCTTCGGGGCTCAACATGAACAGGTTTAACAGGCTCGGTGCAACACACGGTGAAGCAAGTAAGCAAGTATTTTGAACTGGAGCACATCGGTTTCTGCATCGAGGCATTCCTGATTAGTTTCCCAGTTGATTGTATTCTATTATGAGCATGGCCTGTTTTACAGAAAAGCTTTGTTTTTTGTCGGGGGGGAGTCGGAGTCACTCGCCGGCCAATTCCAACGAGGTTTTGCTGAGTCAGCTCACTGCCTGACAGGTTTAACTGAACTGCCGCATGAGCTTCAGGGGGTGTTAATATGTAACGGCACCCTGGGTAGATGCAACCAGGCGGGGATACAGCGGGGGCTTGTCAGACCCTCAAGATGGTAGAGATTAATAAAGCACAAACTTTAGAACCCATCATTATTCAGCAGGCCTGTAAAACCATAGTATACTGCATATGTTGTAAACAGACCTTGAACTGTAGCAGAAAGTAAAACACCAACTGAGAGCCTTTCTTATCTGAGCTTTATTGCAATAAGAGCCCCACTTTGAAGAGTTTTTTTATATATCTGTTTATGGCATCACAAATGTTTCTTGTTTTTTATATCCTCCAGATTGTCGATGTGCAGAATTTTTTTTTTATGTCCCGAATCCACCCAATAGCATTATCAAAGCCCTAAGGCCTGTATGTTGTTGGTCCTAGACTTGCTGACCCTCCTCCCTGTCCTTCAGGAACTCCCAGGAGCTGCGGGGCTCTGCCAGTTATCTCAGGACTGTCCTTGCCAGCCCAGGAGAGGACAGGACTCAGTGTTGCTCTTTCACGGCCCAGCCAAGTCTCACATAGGGAGGCCTTGTTTCTTTACAGCCCCCAGTGTGTGTGTGGCCGTGGCTTAATTTACAGGCTTTCTTTCTTTCTTTTTTTTAAACCCAAAATTGATATTTCTGCCTGAGTGAATACTGTGTGTTTTGAGTTATGTTTGGTAGCACACTTCAAAAGGGGGCTTCCCTGGGGACTGGGTGCCTTGGTTTAAGTATGATAAGGTTTACCATAACAAACATAACAATCTGTGTCTACCACATTTTTACATCTTTGGTGGCCAACTCAAATAGATTTGCCCAAACGATGTTTTTGGTCATCCTGAATGTGTAAAATCTGTTTGTAGCCCCAACCTCCTCAGTGGGCAACCACCACAAATACAATGTCGACTTGTAGGATGGCCATTAGAGAGAGTGCCAGTTTAAGACACTTGCACATTCTCTTCCCTTTTCATAACCAGAGGTTGCCACCTGGCTCATCACCAGAAGTCACCCTTTCCACATACAAGTACTCACGTGATCTGTTGTAAAATATAGAGTTATTGATCATAGCTGCTTTAAACACCAGTTTCAAGTATAAACAAATCCTATTTTTCGTGCTGGTGTTATGAATGCTTCATTGCTGATGGACAACACCATGAAGCTGCAGAGGAGCATGTTTGGTAATTCAATTTGACGTTTGCTTGCTGGAATGTGGTGATGTGTTTTGCTGACTGACGCAATGTGGAACTATTGTTTTTCTGCACTAAAACGCAGCGCCTGTATTTTTAAAGTGCTCCGGTAAGAACTGTTGCCTGTTGTCTCGGGGACCCTGGAAGCCTCTGAGGTTCTTTAGTGCTGCGTCACATTCTCCACTTGATTCACAATGAGTCAAAGAGGATTAGTCAACCTTGACAGACTTTTAATCTTCGCCACCATTAAAACACCTTTTGATTTTGTGTTCTTGAAACTCTCCCTTCTCACTCGGGGGTCGTGTCAGGTTTTGCAGTATTTGCTTGCTCTGCTGTTTCCTGCACTGCAGTGTTGTCCGCTGTACTTTTCTCTCCAGAATGCATCTGTTAAGATGGAGCAGGTCACAGCATGGACATGTCGTTCATTTGAATGAGTTAGCCCTCATCCGGTGGTTAGTATTTAAGGGGAAAACATGACTCTTTGCCTTTCCAACAACAAATGTCCCTTCATTCATCTGGCTTAGGGGCCACTTGACCCCTCTGCCTGAGAGGGCCCACTTGGTAACGCATCCGTGCAGCTAAGAACAGGTGTTTCTTTGCATTTGTTAGGCTATTTATTTTTTGCCGTTCTTCGGTAGATCATCCGTCCGGTCCACTCTCGTGATCACGATACCTCGGGAACACCTGGAGGGAATCTCTTCAAAATGTGCACAAACTCAAGCATGAACTGATTTAGGTTTTGGTGAACAAAGTTCTCTGTGACCTCACTTTAAAACACGGTATTGGCCATAGCTCGAGAATTCCTATGCTTATTATGACCATTTCACACAAATGTCCAACAGGATAAAATGATGCAGTGATGACATTTTGGAGAGACGTGGATGTAAACTGCAACATGACGAGTTGGTGATTGTAGTTATTCATTATCCATGAAAAGTGCTGCCTCATCGCAGCCCTCAGGACGTGCTGCCTCTGCAGAGTGGCAAACAGCTTTCCTCCTCTCCAATTGCTTCATTTAAATGAATTACAAGAGAATAACCAGAGGCAGGAAACTATTTGGAAAAAAGATAGATATGAATCTGAAAAGTAGACATTATAATACCTTCGGGTTTTTTAAAGTTTATTTTCCCAGAGGCATCAAACAACCAACTCAAATTAGCTGCTGACCCAAGTGGGAACCTCTGGCCTACAGGTTAGAGAAGCAGTCTTGTGAGCAAAGGGTCGACGGTCCAAGACTCCCCAGACCGGCTGGGAAGATGTTGGTGGGAAAGAGGAGGAAGAAGAAGCGCATACCCTTCGTTTAACTACTACCTGGGCAGCTCCCAGGTGTGACTGTGTCTAACTGTGGACTCAGCTGACTTTGCTTTGAATGTTAAAAAGTGCCTCTTACCAGGACCCAGAATGTCAGGTGACTGTATGTTATGTGTTGAAAGTGTTGCCATGTCGTAAGTATTTTTCACATGTTCTTGCCATGGCGAGGTATCTCCTCTGGTGTGTGGATCCACAAGCCTGGGATAGACTGACAGTGAGACTTCAAGTAGTTTGTTAGGTTGGGTGACATGTTCATGTTTTATTTAAGCACCGATTGTCAACTGAAATAGTTTTTTTTTCTTCTCTCTGTTACCCTTTAGAAATCAGCCAAAGGTGAGTTTTAAACTAAACTCATGATGAATAAGTTTCTATTTTATATTTTTCTATGCACAAATGTCTTCTTTTCATTGTAAACATCAGGTGACTGAATGCTCAATCTGCCTGCTATCCGTGCATGAGTTGTTCTGAATGCGTGTGTTCTCCTCAGGTGTTCGCCTACGACCACTGCTTCTGGTCCATAGATGAGTCTCAGAAAGACAAGTTTGCAGGTCGGTTCACATCAGCCTTTTTGACCTTTTTGGTTCTGTTTTTAGCTTGAGCATAACTCCGCTGCTTGGTGACTCACTTGTTAAACTTATCTCCTGACAGAATGTTTCCTCATCTTCTGAACTATTTATAGAGTCGAAGAAAGGGTCCATTCTGGTGGCGGGATGAAGTGTTGTCCACCTCTAGATTAGTCCTGCGTATTGTAAAGGGGTCAAACTAAACCGTTGCCAGGGAGTTTCTTAACAATGCGGGGGGGGCATTAATTCACCAGCCTGTGTCAGATGTACTAGATGTGAACAAAATGCCCACCATGCCTCTTCTTTTTCCCTTTTAGCATCTTGTATGCTTTGTTGCTGAGCGTTGAAAGTAGAGGTTCAGTTGCAGATGTTCCAGTGTGTTTTGTGCTGTCTGCAGGTCAGGACGTCGTGTTCCAGAGCCTTGGGGAGAGTTTGCTGGACAACGCCTTCATGGGCTACAACGCCTGCATCTTTGCTTACGGACAGACGGGTAATTCACTTCAAACATGCTACCATCAGACTTATGGGCCCTCGGTAATATTAATAAAGGTCTGCTGGTGTCTGCCGTTGGTTCGTGGGTCTATGACAGAATCTCTATCTTCATATCTATAAACTTCATGGGAACTTCTTTGTTCATGGGGTCTTTCTCTGACTTTGCATTTACTGTCATCACATTTTCATAGTCTCAAGAAGCTATTTCATTTGCTTTTTATTCGAGCGTGTCTCATTTTGCGACGCCAACTCATCAGAATCTCTGCCTCTCAGACACATTTCTTTATCTACCCTGGAGCTGGTACATCTGTTTAATGGTGTTTATTTCTTCCATCATTAGCAGTACTCTCCAGATTACTTTATGATTAAGCCTTTTTATGATCTCTTACTTGCTTCCACAGCTCCAAATCACTGAGATCTGTCATGCCTTGACAGAGAAGCATGTACATTAAGACCATTTGTCTGATTCCTTTTTTAATATATATTTTATACTTTTTTAACTGTTGTTAAATGGGCCCTATGGAGCTCTATTCATTGCACTGTTTACAGCCGTCCTTAGCCAATAACACTGAACCGGATTCTATTTCCTCCTTCCCTCCTATTTTCCTCTTTGACGTTGCTTGGTTCTTTTTCCCACTTGATGTTTGGATTTGTAAACTCCAGGCTCTGGGAAGTCGTACACCATGATGGGCTCGGCGGAGCAGCCCGGTCTGATCCCACGGCTCTGCAGCTCCCTGTTCAGCAGGACCGTGCGGGAGGCCCGGGAGGGGGAGTGCTTCACCGTGGAGGTCTCCTTCATGGAGATTTACAACGAGAAGGTCCGAGACCTGCTCGACCCCAAAGGGTGAGGAACCGTTTGTTCTAGCTGACTTCAAAACAGGGAGTCGCATACATTACATATCCTTAGGAAATATTCTTTAAGAAAATACCAGTAGATTTGTGAGTCTATGCTGTACACTGTGAAATGCCGTACTTTAGCGGTCATACGAGCCGTCATATTTCAGTCTAATACAGTGCTATCTTAACATATCAAATGGCTCTTAGTCTTGATCTTATTAAAGGGACAGTTCACTCTGAAGTCAAAAATACATATTTGTACTCTTTCATGTAGAGCTGTTTATCAGCCTACATTGTTTTGGTGTGAGTTGCATAGTTTTGGAGACTTTGGCCGTAGAGATGTCTCTTTGAAGAAATCATGACCCGGTGACTCAAGATAATCCACAGACCTTGTTTATTTCATGGAGGAATTTTTATTATATTGAACATTTCAAATTCAATCTAGTCTGGACAAAATCAATTTTGTCCTTTTAGTTAAACCTATTTCCAGTACGATTTTATCTTCCCGTTATGTGATGGAAACGCAGGTTGAATGATTGGGTTACTCCCAGTCCTCCTGCTCGTTAGTGATTCGGTCACACCCACTCAGCTCGCCATGAGAGCCGATCTACCATGTGAGACACAAAGACAGTGATGGAGAGAGGAGAAGGTGGAAGGTGACGAAAATAAGAGAGACTTTGGTTATTTTTCAAACTACATTTTAGCCTCGTGACCGTCTCGTCTTTATCGTGGGAAAAAAAGGTTGTTGACGTACACAGTGCGTCATGGTTTTCATTAACAGTATTAACACTGATCTCAAGTAACCGGGTGTTTATTATGGAATAAGAAAATGCTGCTGAGTTTTTCAAATGTGTTTTTTGGCGCTTTGAGCACCACAAGTTGAGTGCCATCTAGTAAATATGTATTTTTTTATTTTGGGGTGAACTGTCCCTTTAAGACTGGTTGTATTGTTTGTTGAGAAGGGAGGAACGCCGCTGTCTATTTCCTAATATTTACAAATGGATGATGGTAGTTAGGTCTGAAGGATGAAGGATTAATAACAGTCTCTTCTCTGTAGAAATCGACAAGCGCTGCGGGTGAGAGAGCACAAAGTCATGGGGCCTTATGTTGACGGCCTGTCTCGCCTGGCTGTGGCCTGCTACAAGGTACTTTATGAACGATGTCGAGTTTCCGCTCTGATTTCATTTTGCTTTCATCACATTGTGTTGCCAGGGGTAACCAGTTATCTCATAAAGTCCGGGCACAGACAACAGACGTGTGTTTTTGTGTCTCTGACAGGACATAGAGTCCCTGATGTCGGAGGGAAATAAATCTCGCACGGTGGCAGCCACGAATATGAATGAAGAGAGCAGCAGATCCCACGCTGTGTTCAACATCATCCTCACACACACACTCACAGACCTAAAGTCTGAGGTACGACACCGGCACACACACACACACACACACAGCACTAGTGATACAGAACAGGATCATAACAATCCTCTCGTGTGCAATGTCTTTTGACACCCTCTCTTATAATCGTGCATGTGATGATTCAGAATGTTGCCGTCACATGTTTTCAGAAGCCCAGGACACAGGGAAACTTGTTTTTTATGTCCAAACAACCGTGTGGACCCTGAGACATTCAATTAGGAGCAAAGAGGCTTGAAAGAGAGCATAGAAAACAGCTTCACTTCCCTGTTAGAAAGGGCTCTCTGAAGGGAGGGTAAAGCAGTGAAAATATTCTAAATATAGTGTTCACTTAAACTGATATTGATTCTTTTAGGTGTCTAACATACGTCCACAGCAGTACATTGGTTTGGTCCCGTGCTGGTATTCCTGTCTTTTCCTCCAAACTCTATCTACTGTAGTAATGCACTGACTGTGGGGAAGTACCTCATACAAACTATCCGTTTAACATCACCTTTTAAATCTCCAGATTTGCAACTGGCCTTCGGTGAAGCTTCTCGGCTGCTTTAAGATAAAGGGCTTTTAGAAACAAAGTGTAACATCATGTTCATTCCTTTGTGCTCCAGACGAGCGGAGAGAAGGTGAGCAAGCTGGGTCTGGTGGATCTGGCCGGCAGCGAGCGAGCGGCGAAGACCGGAGCGGCGGGGGAACGTCTGAAAGAAGGGAGCAACATCAATAAGTGAGTCAACAGAAAATAGATATATCACACGACGCCAAAGACTTGTAACCCTCGCTCATCCAGATTCTTCTTCCAAGAGCTAAATGAAGCGACCGGGCTGTATTCCTCAGAGTGGATTGCTGGCTGGGATAGTGTTTGTTTTCTGTCTGCACTCACTTTTTAAATCTGGGTCTATTTATAATGCGCCGAGGCCAAGATTGCTTTGATGATTTTTTTGACTCTTTTTTTTCCTCTCTGTGCCATTCTGCCCACTAAATACTTTCCTCCCCCCTCCAGGTCCCTCAGTACTCTGGGTTTAGTTATCTCTGCCTTGGCTGACCAGGGAGCAGGGAAGTACAAGAGCAAGTTTGTTCCCTACAGAGACTCTGTGCTCACCTGGCTGCTCAAGGTACACAGAGAAAATACCTTCATACCAACTTCAATACACGACAGGGTGCATTTCCTTAAACTAAAGGAACTGGACTTTAAAGTCCGAGTGATTCCTGTTGAGTTTCAAGGCTCTGCTGGTTATTTTCATTAGCTCTGCTCAGTTAGAAAAATGCTCCTTTTGCCAGCTTTGAGTCTTTAATTTGGGGGTTTTAAACGAGTCCTTTCAAAATTGTAATTGTGTTAAATGTAGCTTTCTAAAACTTGAATAAACCCAGCACGACCATGAATCATTTGCTTTTCATACATTTAGTAATTCTTCCTCCTAACTAAAGCAGTGGACTTTGTTTTTTATTTTTATTTTGCTCTATGTTTAAGGTTGTTTGTCTACTCAAAGGTTTGGAATTGTTTCTACCTGCAGGACAGCCTGGGAGGGAACAGCCGCACGGCCATGGTCGCCACCATCAGCCCCTCCGCGGACAACTACGACGAGACGCTGTCCACCCTGCGCTACGCCGACAGGGCCAAGAGCATCGTCAACCACGCCATCGTCAACGAGGACCCCAACGCCAGGATCATCCGACAGCTCCGGGAGGAAGTGGAGAAACTGAAGGAGCAGCTCACGGAGGCCGAGGTTCGGATTGCTTCGGCCAGCCCGAGTATTTAGAATTTTGAGCAAACGACACGGTCAATTTGTGGAGAGTGTTGATGCAGCTTCTGTCCCTCTCAGTCTATGAAGGCCCCCGACCTCAAGGACAGGCTGGAGGAGTCTGAGAAACTGATCCAAGAGATGACCGTCACCTGGGAGGATAAACTCACCAAGACTGAGGCGATTGCACAGGTAACACACACACACATATATACACACACACACACACACACACACACACACACACACGCATTCACTCCCCTTGTATCAATAGAAAAGAAAAGTTTAACTAATTCTTGTTACACTTAAACAGAACTTAATTAACATTTCTGTCAATTTCTTGCACTCAACCAAGTGCAACGGATAAGTTTAATCAAACGACGGAGATACAATTACAATGTGAGTCGTTGCCGATTGATTTGTTTTCTGTTCATTCAAGTTCAAAGGGTAACTTCTGTATTGTTCAACCTGGACCTTATTTACCCATGTTGTGTCTAAGTGACTAAAGGGGACAACAGTTCTTGAGAACGGTCCAGTATTGAGGGAGAACGCTGTGGACGGCAGCCGCTAAGCGGGCTGCAATGTAATCCCGTCTGGAATCAATTTTAAATCAATTTCTGATTCGGAAATCTCGCGAGATGTCACTTGTTGCCGGGAGACAACGGTGGAAATGTGTGGGAGAGTTGGAGAGGAGTGCCGGTGTTGTCAGTTTGTTGTGTTGCTGAACAGAAAGCTTAGCTTAGTGTTGGCTAAAAGATGTTTAAAGTCACCGCTGAATATCCAGATGATTTGACAATGTGGATGCTACGAGGCTTCTCTGAGCGAACAGACAGACGGGATCAAGTGACAGATAAAGAAAAAGGGTTTTATTTCTCTGTAGGGTTCTCTCCATAATGTTGTCCGACACGTCTATTAACAAGCTGAGCCTGTCGGTGGCAACAACAAGCACTTTCAGATGACCTACATTGACTGTGAGGAGTTCCCCCCGAGTGATTACATTGCAGCCCGTTCAGCGTCTGCAGCATTCTCCCTCAATACATCAGTCAGCTAGACACAAAAACATGAGTGATTAGGGTCCAGGTTGAAGAATACAGAAGTTTTATTCAGTGTGGAGGTTATTTTCCCAGCATTCTCAGCTCCGCTCCTTCTCTTTCCACCCCCACATTTCTTACATCAAGCAGCAGCTAAAGTATAAGCAATCGATCCGTTCATGTATGAAATATGTTCCCTGCAGGAGCGTCAGAGGCAGCTGGAGAGTCTGGGCATTTCCCTGCAGTCCTCTGGAATCAGAGTGGTGGATGACAAGTGTTTCCTGGTCAACCTTAACGCTGACCCCGCCCTCAACGAGCTGTTGGTCTACTATCTGAAGGTACCATGCACACACACACACACTGCCTGACAAACGCAGGGCTGCACAGATTCATAAATGCACACACATTAGTGACCGTGTCTCCTCCGTGTTGTCACAGGAGCACACGCGCGTGGGCTCGGCCGACTCTCAGGACATCCAGCTGTGCGGGATGGCCATCCAAGCGGAGCACTGCGTCATCGACATCAGTGAGGACGACGGCGTGGTGCTCAGTCCTCACCGCAACGCTCGGTAGGCTCTCGACCTCAATCGGCGACGCCGCAAGCCTCGCTTGATGGATCTCTGTGACCACATACTCTGTTTTCTTTTGGTGTCCAGGGTTTTTAGTGTCGTCTTATTTGGATTTCTACTTTGTGGTCACTGAGCCTGTACTTGCTTAGGATCTGTCTCTGCTTTCTACCTCTGTATTTTATTTAGGAATAAATACCATCAGAAAATAAGAAGACTACCGATTCAATGCAAAGTTTTTAAATATTTGATGAACAAAAGGTTTTCAGCTCCAGCAGCTGAGACGACCTGTTTTTCACTTGTATTGGTTATATTCTCTGTAGAGTGACTACAGTATCATCATCTCTCATCTCATAGGTTCTCTCGTGTGTTGTTTAAATCTTTTTTTTTTCCACCTGTAGAACATGTGTGAATGGTGCTGCAGTCTCCAGTCCAGTGCAGCTTCACCACGGCGACCGCATCCTGTGGGGAAACAACCACTTCTTCAGGTCGGTCACTTTGAATCAGTACCCGTGGGGTGTTTTAGTTCTAACACAAACATGTCTCGACTGCATTTATTTACATGTGATCACAAACTATTTATTGTGCCTCTTCCTCTTTTTTTTTTTTCTCCGCTACATCACACTTCTTCCTCTTTTCCGTCTGTCTCACATCACATCTAACTCACGGACATGCACAGGATCAACCTGCCGAGGCATATGGTCCACGCAGGGGGTGAGGATGAGGAGGGCGGCGCTGCGATGAAGACGTGTTTGAGCACAGACCGGCTGGAGGCGGACTTCGACACGGCCAGCGACGTGTCGAGCGAGCTGAGCTTCGGCTACGAGTTTGCTCAGGCCGAAGTCATGATGAAAGGCATGGGCAACAACGGTGAGTCTGACTTCCTCAGAGCATGTTCGTAGTGGTGCAGTGGTGGTAAGTAATGTGACATTGCATTACTCAGCGTTTTTACACAATTCAAATTCTCTCTCAGAGGATATGGAGACATTTTATATTACTTTGGACTTAGAGTTTAAATCAATTTGTTCTTATTGACTATTTAGTCGATTCAGTTGTTTTTTATGCTTTTTAGTATTTTTTTGAGCACGTCTCTGGTAAACACAAGGTTTAAAGTGGTGCTTTTGTGTGATTCTTTGTGGAGAAACTCAGTTTTACGTATCTGTCGATTGAATCAACTAAGCGGTTAGCTGAATTTCTGTTCGAGGACTGCCCGGCTCCTGTGAACTAACTCTGTAACATCTTAAGCTCTGCTCACAGATTAGACTGCCAGACAGGATAAATGCTGAATACTGTGAATGTTTAGATTTGGATCTAGAAATACCTGACATGGGAGTGGAGACCTCTAAGGCAGCGTGTCCCCCTCGTGTTTATCCTGACCTCCTCACTCGTCTACGTCATGTCTATCTGTGGGCAGCAAAACAAATTCTACTTCTGTCGGCATTTTCACAAATCACCAAAAGATAACAAATGTCAACAACTTCTAGGAAAAGACCAAAAGTAACAAGTAGTTCCCTACCATGTATCCTGGCTCTCAGCCCAAAGCACATTTGTTCCTGAGGATATAAATCCTTAAAAATGGGTCACAGAAAATATTATAATTCTTTAACTAGACCTAGAATCTACAGCCATGACTCATTGATGTGCTATTAATATGTTTTGGACAACAATGGAGCTCACAGGCACAGAGGAAGAAGATATATTGTGCTCTTGAAACACACAATAATACATTTGTTACCCGGTACTTTTGGTCATAAAATAGCTTTATTCTTTAAGCAGTTCTTACAGCTTTATCAAAAGCAGAGGATGTCCATCAAGTTACTCCAAACAGCTTGTGTGCTCTAGAATCCAAATATAAGACCCCAAAGGATTCTGATGTGGGTCCACGCAGTTCTATATTTTCCACAATGTTCTGCATGGTTATGTTAAGCCTGCAGTGCTCTGACAGAAGACAAAAATGGAGATAATGAGGTAAATATTAGATTTTTGTGAAGCGGTTCCAACTGGTTTGGGGTCGACAGAGTTTTAATTTTAGGATGAACAGGTCTGATAGAAGCTCATTGTCTTTTGATAAGAAAGGATGGTAAACTATAAAAGTCCTCACACTCTCTCCTCCTCTTTCTCTCTTCATGCTCTGGCGGCTCCTCCTCCTCAGACCCTTTGCAGTCGGTGTTGCAGACCCTGGAGAGGCAGCACGAGGAGGAGAAGCGCTGCGCCCTGGAGCGGCAGAGGCAGATGTACGAACAGGAGCTGCAGCAGCTTCGCCAGAGGCTCACCCCGGAGAAACCCTCCCACCTCCTGGACCCAACGGGCCCGCCGAGCGGTGCGGCCGCTGCTGCTGCGGCGGCACCCAGCTCCCAAAAGCGCGTGCGCCGCTGGAGCGAGGACAGGTGGGCTAAACGCGTAGGATGTGAGACCTTTACTGACCCCTGTTGGCAGTCAGCTCTTTGAAAGAAGAATAAGAAAAAACTTGTTCTGTGTTTGCGTTTCAGAGAGGCAATGATGACTCGCAGCCTGCGGCGCCTGAGGGAGCAGATAGTTCGGGCCAACCTGCTGGCACAGGAGGCCGGCTTCATAGCCGAGGAGCTGAGCAAGAGGACGGAGTACCTGGTCACTCTGCAGATACCTGCTGCCAACCTGGATGCCAACAGAAAGGTAGGCTGTGAGTCTAACAGAGAGACAAAGTACACAAAAAAGCCACACACAGAAACCTCTATTTAATTAACAGAACAGCCACCAGAGGAACAAGACGTCAAAGCACCAAACACTTTCTTTGATTGACATGTTGTACATGCAAGTTCAGCTCAGAAGCAAGTTTTAATAATGTCTTATTGATTTTCATACTGTACGTAGTGCAGAGACTCTGACGCTGTGGGTGAATGCTGAGTGTTAAAGCGCTTTACCAAAATGGCAACATTCAAAAATATGCCGAGTAGGCTATTAGCAGTTACTGTTTGCAGGGCAGCAATCGATGTAGAGACATCCACCAGTGACTGACTTTGATGCTGAAGAAAACTTCAAAACGTGATGATTTTCAAACAAGTTCTGGCATGTTTTTGTTTATTCCAAAGATAGAAGATGTAACACTATTAAGAAAAAGTCATCATGTGGTGTTTCTGAAAAAGTAAAAAATGTCATTGTATAGGAAACCAAAACAAGTTGTAGCATAGCATGATAAAAACAGTATGTACAGGTAGTTAACATACAGAAAATATTCAATTATAGAATACGAGAACAAGTGTGTGTGTGTGTGTGTGTGTGTGTGTGTGTGTGTGTGTGTGTGTGTGTGTGTGTGTGTGTTACACAGTCAATCCATAGGATGGATATGACGTGAAAGGGAAAAAGGTCTATGTATAGATAATATGAATTAATAAATAAATACATTCATGTATTTATTAAATAAATACAGTTACTTCTCTGTTCTGGCAAGTTATAAAGAAGGTTATTTTTGTATGATATCCTCAGGCAGTGAGGACAGGAGGCAAATCACACTGCAGCTAAACTATTTGTGTCGTGTCAGATTTGAGTTTTGACTCCAACAAGGAGTACAAATGGCTGCTATTATACACGAAGGGTTTTAAAGTCTCACAGCCACTGCTGCACACTGTTCCTGTCCTGGTAAACGGGGCTAATGAGCAGCCAGGCTAAAAATCTGTTTTCTGTCGCCCCCCCTCTTCATAGCGTGATGCAGTGTTGAGTGAGCCGGCCATCCAGGTTCGCCGTAAAGGTAAAGGGAAGCAGATCTGGGCTCTGGAAAAGATGGAGAACAGACTGGTGGACATGAGGGAGCTCTACCAGGAGTGGAAGGACTTTGATGAAGACAACCCTGTGAGTGAATAGAGATGAGTCAGCTTGATGCGCAGACTCGGATACATTTATTCCAGTATAATTTAGTGTTTTATTCCGTTTTGGATGTGTAGATATGTCAGAATTAGCCTGCTTGCTTTCGTGTATGCCATTTTGCATCCCTGATTGATGAAATGCTTAAAAGAAGGGACACAGAACCAACCCAGTGAACAAAGAATATGCAGATAAAACATCAGTTAAAGAGAAGACAATTTACTCCAAAAAGTCCTGATGGATCTTTAGATCTAGTCGTAATTTATTTATTCTGTCCCTCCCCGTTCTTCCTCTTTCTCTCTAACCCAGGTGATGCGGTCCTATTTCAAACGCGCCGACCCGTTCTTCGATGAACAGGAGAACCACAGTCTGATCGGTGTGGCCAACGTTTTCCTGGCCTGCCTGTTCCACGACGTCAAGCTGCAATACGCTGTGCCCATCATCAACCAGACGGGAGAGGTAGGAGCCCACTGGGAGCCGGGGATCAGTTTGTTCTTAAACATGGATGATTCACACATGGACAGTTTAGATGATAATGTTATGAATGAAAATGTTTTTCATTTTATTAAAGTACATTTTTGCCCCCTAAAAATGTCTTAGTCAGCGTTTGGTTGTACTTTACTCCAGCCTTTCGTGTCACTTTGATTGTAAAAGAACTAAGATGGCGACGGCCAAAATGCCAAAGTCAAGGCTTTAAAACTTTACAAACACTTTAAATCATTAGATCCTATAAGTTTAGAAAAATGCACTAATGGCCGAATCCAGAGTTGTTTCCTTCCTCCGTTCATGTGAATGAGAACGAGGCTGGACCAAGGGCTGGGAGGCGGGGTTAAAATAAATGTTACTGCACATGCTCTCTGGGCCCGATAAAGCAGAAGATCACTGGAAGATCAGGGTGTTACCGTCTGACTTTTATACTTGGAAGTCAAACTTCTTTTGCTTCATGCGCCACAGAGAAACTTTCATTAAGAATGAACGGGGCGCTGCCTCCCTCACTGTGTCCAGTTCAGTGTGAAATGTTAGAGTTCTGTTCTTCCTGTTGCCCCCAAGTGGGTCAAGAATTCTATTAGTTCACGCAGGTGTGAATGCAGAACTTTGGCGACCAAAACAGGCCTAAAAGTAGACAAAACCTCCATCAATGCAGGTTAAATGACAAATGGTAAGCAAGCTAATATTGACACTTTGTAAATGCTTAGTAGATCATTTTTTGACTTGATAAGTCTCAAAAGGTTCGATTTGAAAAGTTGTTTCTGTCTACTAATCATGCCAGTGGTAATCATCAATTTTGTGATGCCTTTTTTAATTTTAGGCCGACAGTATGACCATCTTCATGGACATTTGGAAAGTTGAACAGTAAACAATTTCTTTAGTGAACAAAAGTAAACCGTAGAAAAGGCAAAAGAAGGAAAGACGCGCTGGCTCACTGCCAACGTGACCAACAGAATTGAGACCCTGCTGCTCTGCGTGTGCGTCAGGTGGCCGGTCGGCTCCATGTGGAGCTGTGGCGGGGAACAGAGGGCTCCGAGGAGAAAGGTCCAGGACGGTCTGACATCCAGCTCAGCGACACAGACGGAGACCCGCAAGAGCGCAGACTGGACTGTGTGGTGAGAACGTGCAGATGTAGCGTCATTAACAGGCCTGTCGGTCACGTGACTTTAGTTAGAAATGAGCCAAACATCCAGGAAGATATCCAGGAAACACCCCAACTGATAATGTGAATCCTATATCTAATCTCACTGACATACAAGTCAGGATCCTACATGCGCTAGCTGCTCAGTATCAGTGAGTGTTGCCAGTGGGGAAATGGCTCCAGATTAATAACATCTCTGGCAGGCAGTCGCATTGTTGTGTCTTCCTCTCTGTTCTGAGTTCCTCCAGCTCACTGTGCTGTGAAATGCGACAAGCATAATTACCTCTGGCTGTGCTTCTGCTGTTCTTATGATGAAATGAAAAATCAGGAGGTCTTTGCTTCAAATTCTTACATATTGACCTCAAGCTTTTTTTGTGTAAAAAGAATATTTCTTGGCTTTAGGAGAGAGAGACAAACTAAGATTTCCCAGACCGTTCTAAAGCAACAATGTTAGGCACATCTATACATTCAAAGCTCTGTTCATGTCTGGTCTGCACATGTTTCCTTTAAACCATGAGATTCAAACCAGCAGAAAGGTGAGAGCGTTTCCTCGTCTCCTCTCCCCCAGGTGAAAATCCTCCACGCCAACGGTCTGCCTCGCCACCTGTCCAACTTCGTCTTCTGTCAGTACCACTTCTGGGGGGAGGAGGAGTCAGTGTTCATCGCTCCAGAGATGCAGCCATCCAGCTCGTCCTCCTCCAGAGACCCTCAGTGCACTGTGGTCTTCGACAGCGCCAAGGTGACATTCTCATTCTCATCGTATCACAAAGAAACAATTCAATGAACAAAGCAAATTCATCACCGACACTGCAAGTAAACAACAACAACAAACAAACAATTTTCAGAAGATGTAGATCAGAATAAATGACCTTTTTATAACTTTTTAAGGAGCTGTCGGTGCCAGTGTCCGAGGACTTTCTGGAATATTTGGCAGATGGGGCAGTGGCCATTGAAGTGTACGGCCACAAGCAGGCCAACCATCGCAGGAACCTGGCACTGTGGGACCTGGGAGTGATTCAGGCCAAGACCCGAACCCTCAGAGAAAGGTGAGCTGACACGAAGCATGCAGCCATCAAAACTGATTAAATAAAGCTCACAAGTCCACTCCACTCAAAAGTGACATTTTCCAACAAGTGAGAAATGAAGGTTAGTTGTGTAACTTAACGTAAGTCTAGTTTAATTCATCTGAACTATTGACATGATTTTAGTGTCTGTTTCACCCTCTAATGGTTCATTTAACCAACAGACCTATCCTCAAAAACACCAAACTGTCACAACGTTTAAAAGTATGTATAAATATGACGTCAAAGGGATCGTTAGATAGTGACTAGAAGTGTGCTTTTATACCTCATACAAGCGCACTTCTAAATGTCCCTTTAAGCTCAGATCTGATGTGTGTCCATGCTGTGCCTGCAGGTGGAGTGAGGTGACCCGCCACCTGGAGTTGTGGGTGCAGCTGATGGAGCTGAACGAGGCAGGAGAGTTCACAGCTGTCGAGGTTCTTCCTGCTAAAGATGTTCGCACGGGAGGAGTCTTCCAGCTCAGACAGGTATTGTGGATATGTTTGGTGTTATTTGTGGTTTGTACATTTGAACGGGGACACTGGTTGAAGTTTATTTTCTAATATTAGGCTGAAGTTTTCCATCTCCACTTTCTGTCTGTATTTTAAGAGAGAACAACGATTAACTGACAAACCTACTTGTTGCTTTTTGTTGGCTTCATGGACATGTGGCTTCCATTGTCCTATCACAAACGTGAGCCTATTTCTATCCCCTCATGTGAATCTGTTCGTCCAGGGTCAGTCCCGTCGGGTCCAGGTGGAGGTCCGTTCAGTACCAGACTCGGGCACCATGCCCCTCATCGCTGCCTCCATCCTCTCTGTGTCCATCGGAGACGTCAAGGTCCGACAGATCTCCAAAGGCAGCGGATCACAATGGGTGAGCAGGAAATACAATCAGCTGTTTGTATTAGTTCAAAGTATGCTGGACGAGGGATTTGTTTTTGGGAAATTGAATTACCTTGATCTTTGGTTTTTATGCCTAATTTGTGTACGTGTGAGAATGATTCATTTTGATTTCCTCAGACTCCCCCATCTGACTTAAATAGCATCTTTTTTATCTATTGTTTGACTCTAATTGGTTCTCTCTCAATTTAAATGTCAGGCTGGGGATGAAGAAATGGACAGCTACCAAGTAAGTAGATCAATTACAAAGAGCAAGATGTGTGATAGTTTGCTCGTAACGGAGAAAAGGAATGCGGTAAATCAAATAGTCTGAACAACTGACACGTATGTGTATCTGTGTAGGAGGTAGACCTGGAGAGGATGAGGGAACACTGGCTGCTCACGCTCAATCAGAGACAGGAGTATCTGGACCAGCAGCTACAGAAGATAGTTTGCAAACCAGGTACAGCTGTGGGACTCATGCAACCCAAAAAACCTTATCTGAATCCTACGGAAGCTCTGAGAGGAAAGTGAGAAAACAATCATTCTGATGATCCATCATTTTTAGGTCTGAGATCTGAATTGTTTCCTCTTCAGAACATTTGGGGGGGGTTTTGCTAGGGGGGGGTTTTGCTAGGATAATCTTTAACAGTTTCCTGTTTTGTTGTTGTTGTGTTTGTTGTTGTAATACTCGTTTTGGCCACAAGGGGCTGAAGCTCAATGCTACCCCATGTTCTAAATGTGGCTAAAAGCTTTCATGTTTTTTCCCCCTGTTCTGAAGTCATAAACACCGGAGAGAAATCAGCTTCCATCGAAAATGTTTTTTCTCTCACTTCCCTCTTTGGGCTTCTGTTAGACTCTGATATGGATGCAGAATATATGGATGCTTGGTTGCAGCAGTATTTCCAGTCCTCTATTTCCTTGTCATTGTGCACTTTTTATGATGTCATTTCCTCCCACTGCTCAAGTGTGATTCAGGTTTGAAAGATCTGGTACTTAACTTTTCCCTTCCCGTATTCAGTGTGTGTTTGAGGTCTTTACTTCTTTGTGTGTGTGTGTGTGTGTGTGTGTGTGTGTGTGTGTATAGATAAGTCCGAGGATGATGTAGAAAGGGAGTCCCAGCTGCTGGAGTGTCGCCTGACGCTAACCGAAGAACGCAACGCTGTGCTGGTGCCGTCGGCTGGCAGCGGCATCCCCGGAGCGCCGGGGGAGAGGTGTGTTTGAAGGGAAATGAATTGATCCAGCAAGTATTTCATTTATTTTATTTTATTTTCCAGCAAAGGTTTGCTTTAAGGACACAACGCTTCCTGTTCACCCTTTGGAACGACCCTCTAAATATCTACAAAGATACTCGTACTTCATTTCCATTTCATGGTACTTTATACTTGGAATCCATCACAACTCTGAGGAGAATTTTGACATTAAAATGCAACCACATTTATTATATAATACTACAACCTCTGTGAAAGAGGCTACTCTGCATAATCACACTTTGACTTTGGATACTTCCGTACATTTTGCTGATAATACTCACGTAGTCTTACTTTTTAAAGGAAAGCAAGCAAACTTTACTTGTAATATGTTTTTCTCCGTGGTATGGCTTCTTTGCTTAAATACATAAATCTGAATACCACTCAAATTCAAGTTGATTTCCCATCACAATTGTGTGAGCTGATCATAATCCAAAAACATCACATAATGCATCAGTACCTCATTTTGTACTCGCACTGAACTGGACTAGGCAGCTTTGTGAAGGCTGAATCTGTAGATGGTTATAATTATTGGGTAAAAGTCAAGTCTGGGTTAACTTTAACCTGAGCTCTTATTCCATGATTTATCTCACACCACCACCACCACCTGGACGAGGAGTGCTGACTGTGCTGTTTCTCCACAGGGTTCCTGTCCCCGGTATGGAAACACACATCCCCGTCCTGTTCCTGGATCTCAGCGGTGCGTCACTCCTCACCGTTCTCTCCGTCTTCACGAGCATCCAATCGGCTTCTTTTCCGCCGGTCTCACTCTTCCGTCTTGTTTCCCCTCCAGCTGATGATTTCCAGTCCAGTCTGTTGGGCCCGTTGGCAGGGGGGCTGGATGCTCTGCTCAGTGGGGAGGAGGACGACGACTTCTTTGACCTTCATGTTGTGAAACACTATGATCCAGAGGTAATATGATAATAATATCAATAACTTCATTTGGGTAGCACTTATCTCAAGAAGGTTACAAAGTGCTTCACAAAAATACATAAATATTTATAAAACATAACATTGCACAAGTGAGTGACACATAATGACATAAAGTGCTCAGAGAGACAGGAGGATGACAGGATAATAACTTAATAATAATAATAGCTTCTACAGCACTTATCTCAACAAGGTTACTAAGTTCTTCACAAAAATATTTAAAAAAAGAAACAATAAGTTACAATGAAACATAATGACAAAAGAAAAGAACAATAAAAAAACACAAAAGCAACAAATCAGGCATAGAACATTCCTATAAAGACACGCTTTAAGATAAGGTGACGGTTGATATTCAGGGTGGATTTGTGAGTTTCCTTCTCTTATATCTCGTCTCTGCACATCCCAAATGTGCCGCTGAGGGAGCATCCGTTAGCCGTTCATGTTCCGTGCTTGTCGATGTGCTCCTCCAGGTGAAGGCGGAGGCCTCCTGGGACTCGACAGTCCACGAGTGCCCTCAGCTGAGCCGCGTGGCTTCGGCCGACCAGAGGGTCTACCTGACGGTCAGCGCGGTGGTCCAGCTGAGCCACCCGGCCCACATGCAGCTGGTGCTCAGGAAACGCGTCTGCGTCAACGTCACCGGGAAACAGGTGGGTGGCCCTGAGGCATGATGGGTAGGAGCCGTCTGACGCAATGGCGTTTTTTTTTTTGTTTTTTTTTGCTTTCTCTCTTAGAAAATGACTCGTCCACTAACACGGTTCATTTAAATGTATGCGTTTGTGTGGCAGGGTTTTGCTCAGAGCCTGCTGAAGAGGATGTCTCAGCGCAGCACCATCCCAGGCAGCGGAGTCACCTTTGAGATCGTCTCTAACATCCCAGGGGTAAGAACCGGGCCGCAAAGTTTGTTACAGTAACCATCATTTGACCTCAGACCACCACTCAAGAGCAGGGTGTTTACTGTGTATCAATGGGTTATTAAAAAATGTATCATGCATTGTTTTTACACAGCATTGTTGAATACTTGATGCTGATTGACTACATTCTGTGGTCTTTGCTTTCTAACTAACCGACCAGAGATGAATTGTAAACCTTGCAATAACTCCTTTGTGCTGCACATCAACAGTTTGTGAGGGATATTGGAGTATTTTGCTGTGAAAGGCAGCATGATGTAAGTAAATGAAACCCCAGCAGGGTGCATCAGGCACTACCCCGCCCCTTTACACCGCGTCTCCCTGCTCCCACAGGACATCCACGGTCCAGAGGACAGGGAGATGCTGGCCAGGCTGGCTGCCAGCACCGAGGGCGACCAGTCGGCCGACAGAGAGGCGGCCATAGAGAAATACCTCCGCAGCGTCCTGGCTGTGGAGAACATCCTCACTCTGGACCGACTCAGACAGGTCAGGAAACACACAATGAACCACTTGGTATTCAGCATCATTTACCTCCCTCAGAATAACTGAATGTCTGCCCACGCTCTCGTTTAACTGTGCTCCTTTGATTGATATTTGTCTGAAGCAGGAGCACATTAAATGCTCATCGGTTGTGTTTTTTATTTTCCTTTCCACCCCGCCAGGAAAAGAACCGGAAACATCTAATTTATCTACATAATACAAAGCCTCCAAATAGAGAAACTGTGATAGTGTTTCCATAAGTGACACAATTAGAAATGCTTACAAAACACATTTTTTGTGTGTGTGTGTGTGTGTGTGTGTGTGTGTGTGTGTGTGTGTGTGT